GGGATTTAGCTAAGTTCTAGACTTAAACCAGCTCACTCTGGAGTTTTTTGCCATCCCATGGCTGTGGCTTTCCTCTTTATTAAGAGTGTTCTTAAACTGTTGGTGATTATTTTACGGTTCGGATTAAGTAACAGTTAACAGAAGAGCTTTCAAAAATGATGTAAGGATCGAATGTCCTTGAACGACCCGTTATGACGCAACTCGGGGGAACATCTCACACGTTACACACACAAACGTGCATTTACATACAACTTATCACACACACACACACAACGTGCATTTAAAAACGACACATTTACACATACATCGCGATGCTGCTTGCTGCACTTTCCCTTAAGTTTATCGACCAGTTAAGTTTAAGGACATCGTCACTGAACACCCCGTGAAATTTTACAGATTTTACAGAGAATACTGAAAACCATAATAAAAAAAACCATGATATTATTATGTTAATTTGTTTGTGACAACATAAAAGGACTGCTTGCTAATTAGTAGTTATGACCCTCATAGTTATTGATAATATAATCGTGTAGTGTAACCAACACAGTAGATAGATCGGTGTGTTTTCTTTAATAATTATATTGAGATTTTTTTACTTAAGGAGATCCTACTAGAATATTACAGTAGCGGTATTGGTACTTACAATTGTAGATTAGATTAGAGCAATAGTTTTAACTATTTAACTCATCAAAAATGTCAGTGAATAGTTTAATAATCCATCATTTTCCATTTTAAAACGCTTCATTTTTTTATCACTGTGTATCTTAAACTCGCCTGGGATTGGAATCGCGTCCGAAAATTTGCAGCATTGTCACTTTACTATTGTATATACAATATAATATACAACTATGCCATTAATTAAACCGTCCGGGAGTCTCCAGTTGGTCCACATACCTCTGTCGTCAGGCCCCATGACTTGCTTGCCTGTCTAACAATAAAATAATGTCCCATTGGTATCTGAGAAGTTCTATACGTTGCTGCGATTCAACCTGTATCCAGCATAAGTCCCTTATACTTTTATCAATGCTACAAGAAAAATATTCAAATACAAAAGTATGTAAACCGTGAATTATATATTTTATTTTACTCTATTATGGTCTGTAAAATTCTCTTCAGCTCTTGGAGGGGTTGGGTGGCCATAATGCTCCCCTGTAAATTTACCATCCTTTGGTATCAACTTAAGATGGGTTCAAGGTGTGTTCCTGTCCGGTATGTAGACTAAAAATATTTTATTTCTTAACTTTAGCTTGTTAAATCAAAGATTTATTTGTACTTTGATATTTTAAAGAAAAAATTAAGTACATACTGTAACATTTACCCCAAAATAAGAGTGAAGCATCGAGTCGAAACCATTGTAGGTGATAAAACTCTTAACTGCAATCAACTGTTTCTTTTTCAGTGGATGGACAGTCAGGGTCAGGATGTCCGGAGAGGAACGGTAGATTCGCCGTCCCGAGCCAGTGTGATGCCTATATTGAATGTGTAGACGGAGTTCCTGAACAGAAGTTGTGTCCGGACGGACTACTGTTCAATTCCAACGCAAAGTTCTTTGCATATCCTTGCCAATATCCTTCCGAGGTCGACTGCGCTGGGAGATCTGCAGTGCGTAAGTATCAAAAAGAAATGTCAAAATGTTGAGTATTAGAATTTTTGAAAAATTTTGTTGATAATTTTGATTGTAGACTTTTCCTTATCTTCTTGATTAGGATAGCATATGGGTATATCTCTTCTCACTTTTCTACAATAAACATTTCTCGTATTTGTAAGGTTTTCAATATATTTTTGTGTAAATCAAAGAGGTAATATTACCTGATGTCAACTTATTATCCACGCTTAGTCCTTGATTGGATTACACAGTTCTGGCGATCTACCAATGTATGTCAAATACCTCTTCCGGAAGTGCAGCGAAACAAATTTAGCATTTTAGTATCCTGAGTGTATACTACATAACTTTATAAACTTCTAAAAACGTTGTTTATTTCAATTTCAAAGAAACATTTCAAAAAGTAAATTCCATGATTAATAATTGATACAATTGTATAGAGCCCGCCCAGGCTACAGAGCAATGTCCGCATCAGTTTGGATACTACAGACTCGGCGACGCGCAGAACTGTGGCCAATTTATGATCTGCGCGAGCGGCGTGGGTCATGTGTTCGACTGTCCAGACGGGCTGGCCTTCAACGAGTACAGCCTTCGCTGCGACTGGCCTGACCAAGTGGATAATTGTGATGCAGAGGGTGAGTTGGACAAGGAACAGATTGGATGAAGAAATATCATGAAGTAGTTTTACATGGAACGAACTGCTAAAGAATTACAGGTTTTGTGCCATAACACCTGCTTCATATAAGTCTGTCCGAAATAAAGGGAACTAAAATGTCTCAGGACAGGACATTCCAGAGATGATGTACCAGAGGATTTTTTTAGAATGTTTCAAAGATGTTTTGCAAGTATCCCAGAGGATCTAGAATTATAAATATACATTTTGATTTTCCTAGAGAGCCATTGTGACCTATGAATTATTTAATTTAGAAATAAACTAAGTAAATCTACACTAAGATCTAAATGAGGTGACCACCTAATACATATGTTTTCCTCTGTTGCAGCGTACTTGGGATTCTCTTGTCCCCAGAATGATCCCAACACGATCTTCGCCAAAGAAGGTTACCGATTCTTCCGCAGCCCGGCCGACTGTCAGAAGTACTTCATCTGTATAGACGGACGGCCGAGGAGATTCAGCTGTGGTGAAGGATACGCCTTCAATGAACTTATCAGCAGCTGCGACGGAGTGGAGAACGTGACAGGATGGTGAGTCATAAGTAAATGCTTTAGTCGGATGAGTTGCTAGCCTAGTGGTTAGCGTCTCAGACTTCGGTGCGAGAGGGACGGGTTCAATTCCCAACACACACAAATAATATGGGTTTGGACTGATGGCCCTACAAATGTTTGTGTACCTCCAAGGGTGCATTCAAAATGCAACAGGGGTGGATAACAAGACAAATTACTCAAGAAACATGTTTGATTTTGTCATGAGTAAAAAGTAATCCCAAAAGTTTCCACTTGACATAACCGTTTAGAGAAGATGTAAAAACACCTATCGATTCAAGATCCAAAATAAAAATGACTTTGGAACATTTGTTGTGGTCGTCCTTTAAACATGAAGGTTTTTGTTTGTAAGAAAGAAATAAACCAAAATATTTGTATCTGTTACAGTGGATTTCCTCAGCAGAAACGACAAGTTGAAACGCAGAGACTTGATTTATTTGACCGAAATCAGCTGACATAGAAAATACAATTGCCGTCAAAGGAAGTTAAGGTTAAGTTATAGTCTTTACTGAAGTTTTAAAATTGAAATACTGAAGTTGAAATATTCCCAACTCCAACTGATATTAGTTTTCCTTGTACAAAGAATCCTTAAAACATAAACTCTTACGGTTTTGTCCAAAATACACCAAATTAGTTCACCAAATAGAATGTTATGTCATTGATTGACTGAAAACATGTTACGTTTCACCTTTTAGAAGTCTGCAAGAATCAGTGGACAGTGCAAAAATATATTTGCCATGCATTAGGTGAGAAACCTATACATTTGAAAATTGTTTATACCATAATTAGCAAAAATACAATTAATTGTTAGAAAAACTTGGATTTTTATTTTCCTTGCAACCACAACCCAAAGTTGTCAATCATAAATAATAAACCCCTGTGTAGCCAAAGAAAATGCCATATTTAACAAATAGTATACTTATTACTTAGTAACTAAGGCCTGAGCTGGGAAAATTAGCGAGTGTCGGCTAAAATTTTTTTTAATGGGGTGATGAACTATATTTTTGTCCTACTGCATCTTTCCCTAAGATAAATATAACTTAAAGTTTGTACATTGATTACCTTCAAATTTACCTCCCATAATGCTTCTTGTTTCGCTATATACAAACAGATGTTGCTGTTATAAGATGCAATATATATCGCTCAATCAACACAAAGTCAATTAATATTTACTTAAAAAATTCTTTTGTACCTTTACTTTACTATTATGTTGATAAAGGGGGATATTTGTTGTGAAAAATACAATGAAACATTAGAAAAAAACATATTTGCCAAAAAAATATGTTTTACAAATACGTTGGTAAGTCAGTAATTAAAGCAATTAGGACACAGCTGCCTACTTAACAAATAATGAGCCACAAATTAAAGTCAGCACCAGTTCTGGTTATTGCCGTCAATTCACAATATAGTAAAAACAAATTTTCATGAGAAAACTCATGAGATTTCCAAAATTCTTAAAAAGCTTTTTAAGGCAATAGTATATTTCGCTAGTAGTCACGAGATCGACGAGTATGGGAAACACTATCAAGCCCCGAAATGGGACTTTCGTGACGAGTATTGAACAATACTTTTTATCACGATGAAAAAACTACTTCATCAAAATAAAAAATAAATATCTGATATTTTGTAATATGTTCATTTTTCTAATCCAAACAAATGCTATACAATTAATTTTAGTGCATAAATCAGCTGATTGTAACTTTGTTGATGTCAGGCAAAGTATTGTTTGTGTAGTGAAAGTAATGTTTATGTCAGGATTAGTCAGCTGATCACTATTTGTTTTTGGTGTATGGAAATTGAAGATTTTTGAAGATCTCAGCTGTATGGAAATGGGCTATTTTCGAATACAGAGTGATGAAAAAGAATTTACAAATAAACACAGAAGTGTTCTGTGCAGCCGGTTTATAGATAAAATCATATGGTCTTCTAATATTTCTAGAATTACATGAGTCAAGTAATCCTTTTCAATTCATTGTCAAATTATTGAACATTCTTTCGTTAAGTAACCAAAACATCTTAATATACAGATTTAAAAATCGGTTCAATAAAAAAGCCAAACAGCCTTAATCCTTTACTCTCAAGAGAAAAAATAACAGTTTCATATAAATAACAAATATATAAAATAGAATATCAAAACAACAATGAAAATAACATATTCTTTTAAATTTAACAGAAACATTATGCTAGGTCCATATACATTTTTAAAGAGAAAGTTCAGCTCTTAGGGGAAGAGTTTTCTACCCTAATTACATGGAAAAAATACTTCCAATGGGCAACCAACTAAAACAATGTTAAAACACTTGCGGCACTTTTATTTTGTCATTCCATAAATGACACATAAACCACAATCCAACAACTTTTATTTTTAGTTACAACACTTTTATGTGATTTGTCGTCAGTGTTTCAAAACATATTTATCGTTAGTTGAAACTTCTCAAATACAGAAAATAAGGAATAAAAAGTCTCATAATTTATGTACCTCAATTATCCAATCCCAACCTTGGATTTTTATGGTCCAATAACTTTTTATCAAATCCTGCAAATTTGCTCGGAAATTAGCACTTAAAAAATATTGCAGAGTTTAGAAAGACAAATGGATGCACCACCTAAAAGTATTCTTCTATATTTGCAGAGACAAGTTATAAAATTCTTTAGAAGAAATCACCTTAGACTCAAAATATATATACATTTTATTTTAATAGAATTCATAATTTGTAACATTGTAACTATACAATACAAATACATTACAATTCCAAATGTGTATAATATGCAGAATACAATTACACCTGTAGATATACAATAGACTCATTGATTATAAAACAAAAGTATTTGACAATGGATTAAATTATAACACACCTATGTACACATTTTAAGTATTATTGGTGAGATGGTAAGCTTATCTGAATGGGAATGAGTCAATTCTGGTACAAGAAATACAAATACAATTACACAATTCATTCACAATAGTTAGCAAGTACTGTAATGATGTATATATATGTTTCTTGTACCAGGATGTCTTTATTCTGACACAACCCTGCCATTCCAACATCAATACTTAAAACCTTGGCTTGTACGCCATACGTTGCAGAATTATTAATTAACCTTAAACTATGTACAAACTTGTAGGAACTAACACATTTTCCCGATGGTTTTTAATTTTAGTAAATTTACGAGATTATAAATGAGTGTTTGTGAAATCAGTCAATTGATGTACGTTTACTTTTTCTTGTAACATTATCAGAGTTTTACTTATTCTTAAAAACTCTGTGGGTTTCATACAATTTTAATAACTTGTTTCAACTGGTTATTCACGATAAAATACAAAATAATATTAAAAAGTGATGTGTGTGGAAAAAACAATGTGGACGATATTCAACATTTGGAATGTGTTGCTAGTGGATAGCATCTTTAGACTTAGGTGCAAGAGGCCATATCTACATATTGGTCAATGCCAAACACTTTACACTAATAAACCAATAACAATTTTAAGCATTTGGACTACTTTAGTTTTAAAGTGTTTGCGATTCTTACATAACAAAAGCCACTGGAGTAAAATTAACTAAACGATTTGTTTAAACCTCTATATTTGGTAATTGTTGTTCTGAGAAATGAACGTTGTGTCTAAAAAGTGATGTGAATTAGTTAATTTTGAGCTGTATTGTTTTATTGCATGAGAATCCCTGACAAAGTTAAACGTAAACTACGTAATACTTATATTTGTAGCTGGTTTTACTTTTTTGAACACAGCAACACCTGTCTTAAGTTCTCGCTCTTGGAGTGTTATTCAAAAATTGTCCAATCTAAATTAAACATTTTAAAATACAACTAAACCGATCCTGTAAAATGATCAGTTAATAAAATGTCCTAATAAATGCTTTAATCGACAATACTTACATGGTATAGAAAAATTAGATACTAGAGTTTACACTTATGTCTTAGCTAACGGATATTTGGTTGTCGTTGTCGATGTCGTCCCAAGCATCAAAATCTTCGCCCCAGCCGTCCGCCTCGAGGTCGGTGGAAGGGGCGAACTTATCCGTCACTTTGGCTGCTTCAGTCACATGGACTACTTGGGGTTTAGAGATCACAGGCTCCATGTCACGGAAAATGTCTTCAAATTCGTCCTTAACTTTCGGTTTTATTCTTAGTTCCAAAGAGTTGATTCCGCCTTTTACGTCCTTTTTGTCTTTTGCAGCACTTTGCATTTCTGTGCTTTCACTTTTGCTTTCTTCTTCAGCCATGGTGAGGGTAAAACTTGGTTCTGCTGCAGTCGGGTTGGTCTAAAAATTACATAGATTACAAGGTAAAGTGTAATCAGGAGAGGAAACAATATGTAATGGTAAACAACACTCTTTGGAAAGATAGAAAAAAAAACAATGAAAATACCTTTGATAATTTTTTTAAGGTTAGAAGCCTATTTTAACCTTACATTTGCCTGTCCTACTAGACTACAGATCTGTGCGTGGAACGTATCCAACAAAGCAAGGAGTGAGCCGTTACAGTACAAGGGCGATCTGTACTGATAAAAAGTAGTGACGAGGATCTGAACCCACGACAACGCTGCCTTGAGCCCGAAGTCCGCGACACTACTGACTGAGCCACCGAATCACCAAAAAGAAATGCTTTGTTTTTCTTCAGAGTAAAGAAAAATTTACACAGTAAGGCCTGAGAGCTAGATTAGGAATAATGTAAATTAATTTGATATTAATAAAAAAAATGCTTCACACTAAACATTTAATTTAATTAGTTGATGTTTGGTAGAGTAACCAGTGCTCAATATAATTTAAATATTTACTACATTTTTGGTCTGTAGTTATTACTATTTTACTTGATATTTTGATGACAACCCCATCAAGCTTATGTAGAGTTAACAGCGACCGACTGTACCCTAGAATAAATTATGGATCCCACAACAAACATACCTTATAGTCCCAGTCTGGCCAGGTTTCCTCTTCCTCGCTAGGGGAGGGGGTTGGGACGTACTCCCCTCCGTCCGGTGACGGTCTCTCCGGCAGTTCTCCCTCAACGGCGCCCTCTTCTGTGAAGAAACAGTACGTTAGACATTAGACATATTAGACTGGCTGGTAGAGCCAGGTTTGAGAACACAATATCTTTGAAGAGTGTGCAGAGGATGTATCATCACTGCAGGAGCCAGATCCTGTGCAACTCCAGCCTTAGAGGTAATCTTGGACCTGACACCTTCTATGGTTGGAGGGAAGTGTGTCAGAAGTGAAGGAGGCTTTACTTAGGATAGAGGAAATAGACATATTATATTCTTTAAAACTGCATTAAAACTCCTCTAATCAGTCCTTGTGAGACCGGGACCTTGACCGGAACAGTAATAAGGTATCTAAGGAGCAGTTACGGATTTTGCCTTGATTGCAGGAGGCGATGATGATATCCCCACGAGTTTGGGATATATGCTCAGTATAAACATGATTTTTTGATGACTGCAGAAGATAAATAAGTTTTTGCCTTGGTTGTGGGAGATGGTAATGATGTCCACTTAATGCTCATGATATTACTGTAATAACATTGTCACCCCCCCCCCCCCCCCCCCACGACTATCGATTGCACAGTTGTATTAAGCGATGAGTCAAACTAGCCGAGGTCGTATTAATGGTGTTCTACTGTACTGAGGAGGCACTTGTTATCTTATCAGATAGCCAAGCAGCCAGGAGCTCTTAGCTCATCACTTAACTGATCCTAGATGATATGGAACTGTCGGAAGAGTCTAAATTAACTTGATCAGAGTAATAGATTCAGTGTCCACTGTGTTCCTGAGACCAAGGCATGGAGGTTCCGAGTAGGCAGATAAGCTGGCGAGGTATTGATTGAGCTACTTTTTATACCCGTAACCAGACTAGTTAAATTAAGTTATAAATAGATCCTACTAATATACTAACCAAGGAATTGAGAAGGATCTTCTTTAAAGTCTTTACTCTGCTGGTGTTTTGTTGAGGGTTTTACAGTCTGAAACATCAAAATAAAATTGTAATTCAGTCCATTTTGTTTTGGTATTGTTGTATATTGAATAGAAAAATAATTATATTTTATTATATGATTTTTTTCAATAGGTAGTGTGGATTTCTACAAGCAAGATGACACTAAAAAGGTTCTTACAGTTTTTGAGATCTGTAACCTTGAATTGAGACTATAGTGTTTCATTTGTTGTTACCTTTGGCCGGCCATCTGCAAACAGTTTCGCTCGCTTTCCTCCAATCACAACAGCACCGCCCAAGACTGGCACCAGCTCAGCAAGGGCTCGAAGAGTGGAACAGACGACACTGTCGTTGACATCCTTGATGCCTACCAGCAACTAGAAATAGCAAAGAAGTTAATGTTACAACACCTTAAACTATGATGTTTGAGATAAACACTTTATTTGGAGTGCTACCCCCTAACCGTACCAGACGATTACACATCTACATCCAACTAGAAACTTCTCATAACCATGATGTTCGGCTGGTTTTTAATAATTGTTATCTTATGAAATTTTTCTTGTGAAGGAAGGATGTGTTCAAGAATACACCCCGTCACATTACTGTTCACACTTTAACATTTCATATCTTTTAAGGCTAACTAACAAACAGAGATAAGGAAACCTCCCATTAAAGGCTGTATGAATAGAGGAGTAGGTCTCTACCAAAGTGGGAATCACTTATACCATAATGCGGTGCCAACGAAAATGACAAAGTTACAGGCCCTCAGCTACTTGTTGTTAAGAAGAACAGAATTTTTAGAGAAGAGAATGGAGAAAAATAGAAGCTGGTTAAGATTTTTGAGGTTTATTACAAGTATAAATAGAGGGGATGGAGTTAGGAATTGAATATCAGAAACAATTGAAAAACAGCTTAGTAGGGAACGTGGAGAAGGTATGACCAAGACGGTTTGGACTTGTGAGAAGAAGATAGCAAGAGACAATTCCTAGGAAACTGAAGCTGATAGTGATAGAGGAAGGAAAATGAGAGTAACACTTATAAGACGGATAAAAGGGGGAAGATATATGTTGAGTGAGGAAGCAAATGGCATAGGAAGAGGAAGTGAGGAAGGGGAAGATAGTAAAACCTAGTTGACATCTACGAATAAACAGAAGAATAAAAAAAAGATAACTTACCTCTGGAAGTATTCTAGTCTGCAATTGGACTTGTGAGAAGAGAGCGCAGTAGGATTGGAAGTAAGACAGTAGGATGAGCCTGATCTGGACATCTCGCACACAGAACAGCGGCAGAAGTCGTGGTACCATGTGTGTCTTGAATGTGTTCTCAGTGAACAAACCGTTCTCACTGCTGTCCTCTATAAGATTCAAATAACCAAAGATATAAAACATTGAAAAAAGGATAGTACATAAACTTCTTGCTACAAACCTTCAATCTATCATTTTAATGCAAATTTGACTGGATTTGTTCAACTGATTAAGGGCAATGGAGGGAGAAAATCAGGAACTAAGAGAACTTGTGGAAGGAAGAAAGTTTGTGGAGGCAGATATGGAAGCAGGAAATTCAAAAGACTTTGCTTCTATCACCAGAGGACAAGATCAGATTTCAGACCCCGAAACGTTACGTATTGTATTTTACCATTGTGATTGGAAAATGTCCCAAACAAACATTTAAACAAGATTAACTAACACCAACACTGAAATTCAAATAAATAATTGGTTCTGATGTAATACTTAACAGAATATACATGTTTTTGTTTTTTGTTCCTTTTTAAAATATATTTCTACATATTTATCTTCTACAAAATAAAAAGCCTAATCCCAATGTCTTGATGGCTCTCTTAACTTGTTATTTCAAAATTACCGAGGTCATTGTTGAATTTATACAAGTGACATAAAAATCTTTTATGGATCTTTTTTATGGATCTTTTTTAACAGTAGCAGTATCATTACGAATTAAGATGTTTACAGGATATGAATATCCTCACTTTTTGAATTTACTTTTAAATAGTTTTGGACAGGATATTCCATGAAGTGATAGCAACAGTGGAAATGATTGTGAAGTTTATTTAGGTGCTAAACATGCTTTCTTTGTACAGTTTCTAGGTTCAAGTGGAATCTTGCCCAATTCAAAGATGGCGGTGTTTTTGAACCTAACCTACCTCTCCGTGGTACAAACACCTGTGGCAGTAGGAACGCCTGGGCCGTGGAGTCGAGCAGAACCATCCGAGACAACAACAGTGAGCCCAGCTGACTAGCTACGGTCTCCTCCGGGAAACTGTTCAGCTTCTGTGATAGGTTCCTGCAATTACCACCAAAACGTGTCAGAGGCCGTAAAATATGTTATTGTAAACTAACAATACCCAACTCTAGAACATCTTAAATTTGGATCATAGTTTGGCAGTAATTTGTTATATTTAGACAAATTAATTAAGTAAAATATCAAACAAAATTCAATGGCAGTAATATTATTTTCATTTCAATTGCCAATTTCTTTAGCTTAAAAATACTAAAAAGTACTTTCAGAGTGACCTTTTTTCATGATTCTTCCAGTCAGAAATCCAACACAATCTCGATACTGCTATGTATGGCTTCAATAAAAACGTGGTGATAATTAAAAGCAGATAATTGGTAATGTGACCTTTTAAAAATCATCGATGGATCATGGAGAATACCAAACACAATGTCACACAAACCTGAAGAAGTCCTGTTTTTCTTCTTCTTTCTTGATGGGGAGATCCACCAGGAAGTTATGTATGGAGAGGAACTCGTGGGAAAAGAAGGGATGGGAGAGCAGGGAGGAGAGAGAGGGACGAACTTCGCAGTTTGGACTCTGAAGTTGCTTCTTACATAGCTCCAGAAAGTCTGGCATTCCTGGCACCTCATCTACAAATAAACATCTCGTTAGTCATAATAACGTAGCTCTTAAACAGGTGACATTGTCAGTCAAAATTGCACTGTTACAAGAATCAGTACATAGAGGAAACGAAAGTAGTATTAGCCATTACTTGAACTTCAAGGATTGATCACTGATTAAATTATGCCTACTTTTTTCATGTTCTTCCCACATATTATGAGTACAAAAATGAAAAATATATTTTTTCCCAAAACAAGCTTTTGGTAGGTCTAGATACCAACAGTGAGGACGAGTACAAAAAATTCGTAGTAAAATGCCTGATTTTTTTACTGACAAAAAATCTATCTGTCCAATGTTTAGCCTACAGTTTTTTTCTTCTTTTAGGTGGACCTAAAATCAAACCTACCTGGATTCTTGTTGATCAGCACTTCCGACGCCAGAACTCCGAAGGCGTACGCGTCCACAGCTGACACGGGTTGTGGAAGTGATTCACTCTCATTGGCCGCAACTGACGGGTCGTAACGGCGAGTTCTTGTCTCTTCTAGATAGCGGCTGCTCATCTCGTTAAATCTGGTAACAGATTTTATTGCTTATGATGATTCTAGGAATGTGCTTGCGAGTAATATCCATAACATCAGAAAACAAAGGAGGTTTTTGTGTATAATCTACCAACACATAAAATTTAAGCACAGTCAATTCCCTAGTTTGGTTCATTTTCCAAGATCACTGATCAAAAGCCCAATGGTCTAGGACAACGTGGTCCCTAGAGTTTCAAACAATTACAAAACTCTTGACTTTTCAGAATCGAACCAGCAACCATTCTGCAAGACAAGTGCCATAACCACTCAGCTACACGGCTCATACGAGATATTATTCAAATCCATTCAATCCTACGATCTTAAAGTAGATGTAAATTCTTTGTAAAGAAGATAAAACAGTTCACTAACCTGCAAAGATATTCTAGACCTCCGAGTTTCCATGAGCCTCCCTGGGTGACGTAGACGGACGCACGACAAACGTTATTGTGAGAAGCAGTTCCCTGGAAACCAGCCATGTTACTAGTCAAACTTGAAATACTGGATCTAAAACCTGCAGAGTTACAATTCTCCGTTCCATCCGACATTACTCCACTTCTCTCCTCCCCCTTCATTTTGTGCAGCCAAAATCAGGAAAAGAATACACAGTAGGCCTAAGCATATTTGGAAATGTATCTTTAAAGAAAACAATTCCACTATGTTTTCCCTCTAATTGAATTAATCGATAATAACTAATAGTTTAAATATTTACAATTCCTCAACAGTTTAAAGTTAACGGTGAACTGAGCTTCAGGTATGTAGGCTATACAATTTATACATTTGTTTGAGAACATTTTTTCCCTATTTAATAAAAACTTAAAACAATATTTCCACAAACTGGACTCGGATAAAAATATGATTTTACACTTTATGATTTCATCATTATATTGTTCGGTTTATACTGTTTTATATCCTATCCATGTTCTATTTTCACTAGGTTTGGATGGGAAAAGTTGGTTTTAAAATATTGAGTGTGTTTTTAGTCTAGGTTAGTTTCTCAGTCTTCGGTGTGTGAGGGGAATTTGATCTCCTCGGTAGGTATTTACAAACATGTGAGGAGTTTAACCACTTACTTGTAACACGAATAAAAAGGAAAAAATTATTGCGTCTGATTAAAAAGAGTGCGCAGTTAATCATTAGAGAAACCGAACTACTCACAGATTCGTGAAGGAACACCAACGCCTTCAATACACTCTGGAGACCCACGCAGATCTGCAATGAGGTTTGAGACGGAAGAACTTGAGCGAGAGGCTGAACTTGCTCAGTGGCTAGATGGAACTTGGAGCCCTTGCGCCAGTGGGAGACATACTTCAGAATACAAGGATGTCTGTAGACCATCACATTCTGTAAAGTGCTTTGAATGAAATAGTTGCAAGAGAACAAAGTGTATGCAATTATAACATTGTATAGCCTAAATTATGATTTCTTAGAAAATACTGAATTGCAGCTAACAATTCAAACAGCTCGCGCTGATAAAATTTGAATCCTGGTCCATTGCGACACTATCTGGATGCCTAAGTTTATCAGTGGCCAAAAATATTGGTGTCGTGTTTGGATTTTACAGCATTTTACTTAGTTAAAATTTAAAAACATGTATTTCTAAACTAAAATTAATAATTGGTAAAATTAAGAAGTAGTTTCATTATAACCTAAACTTTACCTTCCCAATCTAAATTAATTACATTCACGAATCCACATAAAACCCCACAAAACAAACCTTGACTTAGCCTATCATAGGCTGAATAGAACTAGTAAAACTCCAAACAACATGGGGATCAAAATGTTTAAATCTTTTGCCAAAAAAAGTCAAAGAAACAAGTGAAAATAAAACTTTTAAAAAACAATTCAAACAATAGGCCTACCAATACCTTATTAAACAACCATTAAAAATACCTAACTGAATTGACGAACACAAATATAGCCTAAACAATAAATAGGAAAGCAATGCTCAAGTACACTCTCACACACATACAAATTCACACAAGAAATTGAGGATTCCCCTTTCTATGAGGACGGCTTCAATGGTAAATGGTAAATGGAGTTAAGGATTTGAAATAAACCTTTGTGAATTTCTCTAGATGTGAACTCTCTGATGACACAGGGCATGTTGAAACAAATACAGATATTTTGGGAACACTTCCGACTGCATAAGTGGCTCCATGCAAACTCCAGCCATCCGTAACTTCAGTTGGAGTTTCATCTATGGTTAGGCCGGCTGGTTGACTCTTTTCATTGCCCATAGTCAGCTGAAACAAAAATTCCTAGAAGTAAGATATGCCTAATTAAGATTTGGAGATTAACATATTTTATAGGCCTATTGAAGTTTTTTTAACTTGTAATGTGTTGCGCAAATTAACGTAGGTTTAAGGTCTACAAAAAAAATTATTAGTTAGGTCCTATTGTGTTTGATCATAGCCATCTCTAGTATAAGGCCGCGGCGAGTGAAATCTGGCAACGTCGCATCCGAGGCATAGTCCAGTCGGCTCCTGCCATTAGTTTACAAAGGGGAGAGCATATTAAATGTGGAATTGACTCTAAAACTCATGAATATCAAATTAAATTTAGACAGAATAGAAAACTAGTGTTTAATTGAATCAAATCAAATCAAATCAATCAGGGAAAAACACAAAGGGAATAGCCAAATATAATCATAAACATATGACTTAAATACAATTAAAAGTCACGTGCTATCTTGTATACAGATCATGAGTGAAAGTCCAACATTTTGCACTTATAGACGGCGCATCACCGGTGATTAACCTGTTTGTTTTACACAATTAGAGACAATATGGTATTCGTAGTGACACAGTGTTATGCCTTATAAGTGTGTCATGCCAGGGTGTAAAAATGCCAAAAGCATTAAAAACTTAGGAGTATATACAATTATTTCACTTCCCTCTAGAAGGTCCGCGTAAATAAGACGAGTGGGTTAGAGCTATAGAAGTCCATGTCACTTGCCCGGCCATGACGGAATCAGTAGCCTACATAAGAATTGTGCTAATATTTAGTACCTATTTTGTAGCCTACTATATAGTACCAACAAACGAAAAATTAGTACCCCACTCGGTACCGGATAACTAATTAATTTAGGATTCCAGGCCAGTGAAACGCTGGCCCAGACATTTTCAAATTTGATCCTAATACGTATACCATCATTTAGTACTTATTTCGCACTATTTTGTACCTCCATCAATATAATTTGTACCTCTAAGAAAACTAAGCTACCAAGCTTAAACTGTACAGGTCAATGACCCCTCAGCCCGGCCATGTCGTAAACTTGTAGTTATAAGCTATGCTACTATTTAGTACCTATTTCGTACTTCAATTAAAATAAACTGTACCTCAAAGATAACCAGGCTGCGGGCCTGTAAACTGTAATGTACCATGCCCCCTCTGCCCGGCCATGTCTCAATCTGTAGTATGAGGTAAGCCTTTATTTAACACCGGCTATTAAAATATATCAAACTAACAAAAATATTTTAAACTAGACAAACAGAAAAAGTCTAATATTTCAAAATGTTGGCTGCACTTTAGTTTTCGTCCTACACTCATTGAACATGAACACATTGATATATAGATTATTTGATATATCGATTACTTCGTTCGGTTAGGTTAACCTCTCTAACCAAACTTGATAAATCGAATGAAATAATCGATATATCGATTCCAATGAGTGTAGGACGTAGACTAAGTGTAGCCTTAAAAAAAATTAATCTTTAATTTTATGTGTATCCTCAAATTAAAGTTTAACTTTTATGGAGTTAGGGAATTAGAAATACGAATCATGAAAATAGTGTATTAATAACAATCTTATGTTGTCTATATTTACATTTTGTCCCAAAAAAATTAGCCTATAGATAAACCACGATTACTAGAAAAATACCGGTATGGATCATAAACATCAACAAATGACGTTTTTGGCCCGAAAATAAACATGATTTAACATTGGTTAAATGGAACTGCTAAAACATATGTTCAATGCTATTAGTATAGGATTCGGGCCAACAACGTCATTTTGTTTATGTTTATGATTAACGTGACCATATATTTTGGAGTTCAAAGCGGGACAAACCTTGCCGGGGGGTCTGGGGGGGATGGAATACCCCCCAGCCAAAGAGGGGGGTCCGGGTCCTCCCCCGGAAAAATTTTGAAAAATAATAGGTGTAAACTAGCGTTTTTATGCAATCTAGACGTGATATTTTTTAAATCATAATTTGATTTTTATTTGAGTTTTTACTATATTTAACCTATTTGTTTAAGGTGTTTAAACATGAATTTAAATTAGTTCATTGGACGGAACATATCTTTACTTCGAAATATCCTCAAAAGTCAAAGTGGATAGCTTCACCAAGTGCACCCTAACAGCGGGAAATGAGCAAAGGAACTGAATTTACAAATGACGGATGGATGTCATCGGGATTCGGGAATAACTAATAAAAAGTAACATGGACAGTTTTTAATGTAATTTTTTATAATATTCATACAGTAAAAAAATGCATTGTTATCCCTATATAACATTTTATTCAAAAGTAAATATCCTAATACACCAATAAATGCTCAGTTTAATTGGTAGGCCTGCAAAAATCATCAAGTTTAATCTTGGTGTTCAATTCTAATCACCAAATAAACATTTGTAAATTATTATTCCACTATGTAAATGTTAACCAACTTTATCCTTAACATCCAACAAATGGATTGACAATGAGAATCTCAATAAAAAGTTTGCCATTTATTAATTTACAGTGCAAGAAATTCACAAAATCATCCTTAATAATAAAATAACCATTGACATTACATTACAAAAACATAACAAATAATACTGTAAATGAATACTAGCTCAAATTGAATAATTATTTGCATCTTAGTTTTTCTTAGCAAACGTAAACACACTACGGTAAACGACACAAGGGAACCACTTAACTTAATTAAATATTTGCTCAAACCGTAGCTCAGTCTACTTGATCTCAGAGTTTAGTGGTATATTTGTCACTGGAGGCTATTTGTTGCAACGCTTTTGGAGATGATCGTAACATTGCATAAAAGTCCTGACAACTCAAATTGAAATTAAATTTTGTTTGAAGAATCGATTTTAAAACATTGACAGAAAGTTGAGTTTTTTCAGATGTCCACACTTTTGTCATTGATGAAAATACTCTTTCAACAGATGCATTGCTCCCTGGGAGAGTCAACACATATTCCACAATTTTACTTGCGTATTCGCAGTTTATTGAGTTATCTTTAAAGTGCGTGAAGATCTTAGACCATCTTGAATCTGTTTCAACTTGTTCTTCGTTCCAATTAGCAACATTGCTTTCAACATATTTCAACACATACCCAATTTCATCGAATACTTTAGTATCACAATCTGGTGGAAAATACTTATTCTTAATTAAATAGTCAACTGACGGTTGGATGTCCTCCCACTTTGGAGTGTTCTTCAACATCACCCATTGAAATATCTCCAAGTTTTGAAAATGGACAGTCCATTGATCTAAATACTGCAGTGATGTCTCGTAAAACGAAACAAAGGTGTTAGTGATACTTTGTTTTTCTTCTTCTGAGCAACATTTCGTCATCAAATTGCGAACTATGTGTGGAACAAATTTGTTCACGGCCTTCTGTTTGAGATTTTCCTTCAAGATTTTTACTTGAACAGTTACCTCGATTGCTGAGACCTTGTCACCTTCTACATTTGAAACAGTTTGTTGAAACGTAGCTGCTTGGCTATGTATGAAATAAACCCATACTTCTGAATGTGGGTTTCCAAAAAACTTCCTCAGGATCTCAGGACATTTCGGCTGGTTAAGAAAGTACTCTTTAAGTGGCACAAAAAGCTTCAAAATTCTTTCAACTGCTGGCATTAAAGCAAGCCAGCGAGTCTTGCTGTATCCCAACATTTTGTGGTACTCAATGTCGACCGAATCACATATTTCTTTGAAAGCTTCCACCCTTACTGTGTACAGATAGAAAAATGAATACACTTTAACGACAATAACCTCTACATCTACTGGCAAACAATCTGATGCACTTAGTATGGCGTTATGCACTATATGTGCTGCACATCCAATGCCTACAATATCTCTGCCTAAAAAACCTTTTAGTTTGAAATAGGCCTAAACATTTTCTTTCCCCTTTCTAGCTGCACCACCAAAATTTGTATTGGTGTTATCCCCGCTGAATGAAATTACTTTTTGTGTTAATTGATGTTCTTGCAGCACGTCCTTCAAATAATTGACAATAATATCTGATGTTTCTCCGGGGAGGGATTGCAAATCTAAAACCTTTACTTTAATGCCGCTAAATTTATCAAAATAGCGTACTACAACAGGAAACATTTTTTGTGAACCATGATTGGATGAGTCTGTCATTATACAAACATAGTTGCAACTAGTCAGATCCTTTTTAAGCTCAGCCTGAGCTAATGGGGCAATAACTTGTGTAACTATAGCCTGTGTCTTGGTCTTAGCACAGTGGAACTTTGGTTCAAAACAAGTATTTATTACCTTGGATGCGCAGTCGTTGGAGCGGAAGCTGTGGTTCTCACGTACGGTGTGGTAGGCCCAGGCACCCTCAGCCGCTGAGACGTCCAGGTCTTTTTTGTTCGGGACGTTGCTTTTGAAAAATGAAGATATAGTTTTGCTCGAGCACGCAGCATGGTCAGAAGCAACATGTTTGTTTGACTTTAGGTGTTTATCAATATCATTAGCTCCTCCATGAGCAACGCTAAACTCAGTACAACACTTCTCACAGACTACATCACTTTTGTTCGTCTCAAACTTAAGTTTAATAAACGGATATTTCGATTGTAATTCACTATTAAATGTGCACTTCCGTTTGGGCATTATCTAATGCAACAGTAATTAAACCGTAGACCTACAATAGTCAAATCACAAACAAACTTGCACCGAATGTAAAGTTAGAGGTTAAGGTACACAAACAACTTGACAGTTTAGTTTACTGACAACATGCGTCTTTTGAGGCCGTAGTAGCCTACAGCGCTTCAACACTCGCGCGGAAATAAATTGTACTAGTGCCGATCGTTGCCTAGTACAGTATATTGTATAGTCGAGTTCACGCGATCGATGGATGAACGATGAAGTGCTACTTGTACAGTTAACCAAATAGGTTAATAGGTTGGTTTCCGTCAGCTTTCCTTAAAATTACTAACTAGTATTCTTACACGAACTAAACATTAGTGTGAAAAGGCGAATTTTCATATTCCATTGAATATTTCAAACGCCTGACCTCCAAAGCGGGACATTTTGGCGTCCCCCGGCCGATTGTGGGGACAGCGGGACAACTTGTTGTAAAGCGGGACTGTCCCGCCGAAAGCGGGACGTATGGCCACGTTATTTATGATCCATACCGGGTTTTTTCTAGTATTCGTGAGATGAACTTTCAATGTAAGTCATTTTTAAGTACCGAGTGAAACATTTTATTAGAATCAAAACGAGTTTTGTAAGGTTAATAACGCTACACTTTCATAAGTTTACATATTGATAATATTGCTATTATTACATTGTGTTATTGTCAGTATGCATAATGCCTTTCTGTACATTTGATGTCAATCGAATATTATTTAAGCACTTGGTTAACACCATTATTACAATATTTAGGCCCTAGCCTAGTAATAAATAAGTGACAAGTTCATGATAGGCTAGGCCTAGTGATTTTGGATCATGGATATTTGATTTCCTTAATATTGTTTTTACCTGATTCGAGATAGGTTAGGTTATGGCAGTTTCATTTTGTAATTGATAGAGAAAAAAATATCGATTATTTATCGATACTAGCGTAGCCCAGTTAAGAAACTGAACCCCATACCATTAACAAGAGAAGGAGAATATGAATAAACAAATACCTACACAGTTATTTAGTGAAGTTTCGCTTGGTTCATAAATATAAATGTCAGGACGGGAAGTTAACCTTTCAGTTTCGTCACCTGCCCAGCAGTCCAGAGCACTCTGCACTCCTCTGAAAATTCACTCAACCTCAGCGATCACTAATTTTTACTAATAACTCAGCATCAGCAGCTATTAAAGCAAAAAGCAATTAATTAGCAGAGTAGTAAGTGAAGGTTTGAAATTAATTGAAAGAAATGTCGTCTGTCACTTTACTTGTCTGTGCTGTCTTGTTGTTTTCATTTAGTTTTTTTTCGTTTTCAACGACCGTCTGGCCGCAGTAATGCAGTAAAATCACTGAGCTATGAGTAAAATCATAGATTAAACATACTCCTCAAGTATCCTTGAGGAGGGTATTTACTCAGGGGAGGTACGGAAGAGGTTACGATGACAGCTGTGGACTTCTTATTAACTGAGGGAACGCTATTACCGTAACAATACGGTTTGAGGACAACGGCTTCGGTGGTCTAGTGGTTAGCGTACCGGGCTGGCATGCAAAAGGTCCCGGGTTCGAATCTCGCTGGAAGCATTAACTTTTTGTCTCAGATTTTTTCATTATCAGCAAGTTTGGTTGGTTTGGTTCGGTTATGACAGTTTAATTTTATTATTAAGTCATTATAAAATTGTAATTGAGCAATTTCTAGTTTTATTTAATAAACATAATTATTTTTTCTATTACTAATCTTTTTTATATTATTTAATTATCAGCAAGTTTGGTTAGTTCGGTTAGGTTATGATAGTTTAATTTTATAATTAAAAAAATTATAAAATTGAATTTGAGGCATTTATAATTTTATTTTGTGAACAGAACTATTTTTGCGAATAGTAAACCTTCATTGACAAAGTGCTCTCTACTACAGCGCTGTTCGCGGAGGAATTTTGAACTAAATGCCTCATTCGTACCTCCCCTAAGTCAGACCCCTTGAGGAGTATGTTTAATCTATGGTAAAATGCATTTTCATTTTAGATAGGAACTAAATAAATGTAACAGCATTTAATAGTTAACAAGAAGCATTGCTTTTTCTTCAGTCTGCCCTGCCTTTGCCAAATCCCAATGGATTTTATATAAGTGATAATGCTGCAACCCCTAGGTCTAGCCTTAAGTAAAGTGAAAAACAATCCCGGACTCGTGCCTAGCGTTTTCGGGGGGATAAACTGTCGAAGTGAAAATTTTTGCAGGTAGTGTTGTGTTGTGCTCTTTAAAACGCTAGGAAAATTGCCTGTTTGGGTAGCCAATGTATTGTTTGATACACTAGGAATCGCAGGTTATTTTGTATACTCCTCTCTTTTTCTATTGGGTGGGATTCTGTACTTTTTTCTGTTGTATAATGTTATAGTAGTGATTTTTGACTTGGTATACAGGTGTGTAGCTGGCTTTTTTGGAAGCGTGAAGCGTTGCCAATTTTTTCTGATATTTTATTTTTGTATATGATTGGTACGTATTTTGGGTTTGGTTCGGGATTTTGAGTTGTAGTTTGGTTTTGTTTTCTGACAAATATCCGTTGGTTTTTGCAATAGTTTTTATTATTTTAATTTATTTTTAGTGGTTGTCATGATTGTAGTTGACTCCAATCATCCATAGAATAAAAAATGGCAGCATTCTGCTAATGGTTGGTTGTGTTACTAGTAAAGTAATTAAAAATAGTATAGTTACATGGGAGTTTAACCAAACCAGCTTTTTTAGAGAATGGGAAAAAGAAGGAAGAGAGAGAAAGTAAAAGTTTAAGATAAAGAAAAGAAAGTCCAAGAGTGTTCAATGTTCAATGGTTCATTCGTTTCTTCTTCTTCCTCGTCTCGTATTGTGTTTTGTGTATTCAATTCACTAATCACTATCCAATTCTTTGTGAATTCACTTCACACGTTCACAACAGGTTCACGTTTTGTTTAGTTTAATAGTTTCGTCAAGTTTTGCCAAGTCTCGCAGTGTTGCAGTTCGAATCATGAAACAAATTTATAATTTACAGTACTAGCTCAAACATTTATTAGGCTATATTTGAATTTTAAGGTTCCTTCAGAACTGTAGCCAATAACTTAAAATTAGGAGGCTTTGTTTTGCTGAGCTGAACTAGGCTAGATAATAGCTTTTGTGATCCTGAAACTAAAACTAGCCTATTAGCCAATTTCCTTCTTTACGTTTTTTAAACGATTTGTCAAATAGCAAACTACGACAAGTGACTCTAGGCATTCATTTTATCAATTATCTACGTATTCCCTGATTAACCTAGTTGTTCATTTCAATAACCATTAAGTAGGCTAAAATGTCATCGGTGACAGTTCTGTCTTAGCGTGGCCTTCCTTGCTTTCTTAGATGCTGGGTCGGGGTTAATAGACGCCACAGAACTGTTTGACATGAACAAACGAAGTTTTGGTTAATTTTACACCTCCCTTTTCCAGGTAGGCTTACTTACATTTTCACAAGCTTAAATTGTATGGGTAGGCTAAGTTAAGTTAGCCTCAAGCTTAAAACTTAGGCCTAAACTTATGATGCAACATTTAAAATTAACTTAGACTAGGCCTAGCCCTACATGTGGGTTAGACCATAAATTAGGCTAGGCCTATGAAAATTTTTAACTATGAACTAGGCTAGGCCTACTAAATGATTTTTTACCGAAACTTTGTTAAAATTAAGTTATTTCTTTTGTCAAGTACAGCCCAGGCTGCACTTTACTTTAGGTCCTACACTCATTCGAATGAAAATATCAATCGATATATATCAATTAGGCCTATTTGTTAAGTTATATCGTTTTGTTAGTTAGGACTTGTGTGAACCTGGCAGTAACTCCAGCCATAAGTAGTGCGCACGGCCAAAAAAATTTATTGCTGGCCGTTTTGCGGCAAAATACGTCCGCGAGCAATATTACCGATGATGCCAACAGATAGAGGACACTTTAACGGACACGACAGTATCAATATCATGTACCTGGGGAATAAGTTAAGGGGGGTAAAACCAGCAATAAGTTGTGCGCGCGCCCGAAAAAATCTATTGCTGGCCGTATTGCGGAGAAATACGTCCGCGAGCAATATTACCGATAATGCCAACAGATAGAGGACACTTTAACGGACACGACAGTATCAACATCATGTACCTGGGGGATAAGTTTAGGGGGGTATAACCAGCAATAAGTAGTGCGCGCGCCCGATAAAATCTATTGCCGGCCGTATTGCGGAAAAATACGTCCGCGAGCAATATTACCGATGATGCCAACAGATAGAGGACACTTTAACGGACACGACAGTATCAACATCATGTACCTGGGGGATAAGTTTAGGGGGGTATAACCAGCAATAAGTAGTGCGCGCGCCGGATAAAATCTATTGCAGGCCGTATTGCGGAAAAATACGTCCGCGAGCGATATTACCGATGATGCCAACAGATAGAGGACACTTTAACGGACACGACAGTATCAACATCATGTACCTGGGGGATAAGTTTAGGGGGGTATAACCAGCAATAAGTAGTGCGCGCGCCGGATAAAATCTATTGCTGGCCGTATTGCGGAAAAATACGTCCGCGAGCAATATTACCGATGATGCCAACAGATAGAGGACACTTTAACGGACACGACAGTATCAATATCATGTACCTGGGGGATAAGTTTAGGGGGGTATAACCAGCAATAAGTAGTGCGCGCGCCCGATAAAATCTATTTCCGGCCGTATTGCGGAAAAATACGTCCGCGAGCAATATTACCGATGATGCCAACAGATAGAGGACACTTTAACGGACACGACAGTATCAATATCATGTACCTGGGGGATAAGTTTAGGGGGGTATAACCAGCAATAAGTAGTGCGCGCGCCCGATAAAATCTATTTCCGGCCGTATTGCGGAAAAATACGTCCGCGAGCAATATTACCGATGATGCCAACAGATAGAGGACACTTTAACGGACACGACAGTATCAACATCATGTACCTGGGGGATAAGTTTAGGGGGGTATAACCAGCAATAAGTAGTGCGCGCGCCGGATAAAATCTATTGCAGGCCGTATTGCGGAAAAATACGTCCGCGAGCAATATTACCGATGATGCCAACAGATAGAGGACACTTTAACGGACACGACAGTATCAATATCATGTACCTGGGGGATAAGTTAAGGGGGGTAAAACCAGCAATAAGTTGTGCGCGCGCCCGAAAAAATCTATTGCTGGCCGTATTGCGGAGAAATACGTCCGCGAGCAATATTACCGATGATGCCAACAGATAGAGGACACTTTAACGGACACGACAGTATCAACATCATGTACCTGGGGGATAAGTTTAGGGGGGTATAACCAGCAATAAGTAGTGCGCACGCCCGATAAAATCTATTGCCGGCCGTATTGCGGAAAAATACGTCCGCGAGCAATATTACCGATGATGCCAACAGATAGAGGACACTTTAACGGACACGACAGTATCAACATCATGTACCTGGGGGACAAGTTTAGGGGGGTATAACCAGCAATAAGTAGTGCGCGCGCCGGATAAAATCTATTGCAGGCCGTATTGCGGAAAAATACGTCCGCGAGCAATATTACCGATGATGCCAACAGATAGAGGACACTTTAACGGACACGACAGTATCAATATCATGTACCTGGGGGATAAGTTAAGGGGGGTAAAACCAGCAATAAGTTGTGCGCGCGCCCGAAAAAATCTATTGCTGGCCGTATTGCGGAGAAATACGTCCGCGAGCAATATTACCGATGATGCCAACAGATAGAGGACACTTTAACGGACACGACAGTATCAACATCATGTACCTGGGGGATAAGTTTAGGGGGGTATAACCAGCAATAAGTAGTGCGCACGCCCGATAAAATCTATTGCCGGCCGTATTGCGGAAAAATACGTCCGCGAGCAATATTACCGATGATGCCAACAGATAGAGGACACTTTAACGGACACGACAGTATCAACATCATGTACCTGGGGGATAAGTTTAGGGGGGTATAACCAGCAATAAGTAGTGCGCGCGCCGGATAAAATCTATTGCAGGCCGTATTGCGGAAAAATACGTCCGCGAGCAATATTATATACTGTAACTAATAACTAATAACTGTAACTAATATATACTGTACTAGGTTTTCTGGTGTTAAACCTCTTCCCACACAGTTATACAAGTAACTAAGTTAGTATTTATAATATTTATAATCAAACTAAAACCATACTAGCAGAATCGCCTCGCCAATTCACCGAAATTATGTTCCAAAATATAAACATAACAAATTAGCAGATGACACTAGTTCAGAAACAGCTGATCTTGTGGTTCACCGCCGGGCCGCGCATCAGTCGCCCGCGCCTGCGCAGGGTACAGCCGGGGTACAGCGCTGGATGTGCGCGGCGCTCGCCGAGCCGAGATACTAGACACTAGACTAGACAGTGAGTCTGTTTTGTCTATGGTCTGAGTCGCAGTCGGGGTCGGCGACGGCGAGGCGGGAGCATCGATGTATAATAACTACATCGATGGGCGGGAGTCGACAGCAAGGTGGTTTTTCAAATTCGTTTTGTTATCGCGTAGGTCCGTGAGAACACGGTGTTACCTAAAATAATGTGTGGTGTTTAGTTTGTAGTCAATGTTTATTGTAATCTATGTATAAAGTCAAAAGTACCCATGAACTTTTGAGAAAACTACAAGTCACACCCCCATAAACCATATACTTAAAATGTTCGTCATGACGAGAAACCTTGCGCAAAATTATTCATTATTTCATAAACTGCCCTATAAGGTCGTAATTGCTTTCCAAAGGGAACTTTCCATTTACCTAATGTTAAAAATACCTCAGCTGTTATTATTTGTTTGCATTACCATTACTGTATTCTGTTTTGTTTATTTCATCTTAACTTAACCAATCAATAGTTTTATTAATACTATTGTAGTAACAGGGGTGGAGCCCGTGGGTAACAGATAGTTACTGTAGCAGCAATTCAGCTGTGAGATATTTGATTTATGGGAGTAAAAGAAAATAGTTGATTTATTAGAGTGATTGTAATTTTTTGCTGGCTTCTTTACTAACACGCTTTCATTTGTTTGTATTTCAGAACTGTACTAACAATTGCTATACCATTGCTGCACTAACCATTAATCATTGTCTGTTATACTAGAACCAGTGCACAGTAGCTATGTTCTATGTAGTCGCTTAGCCGCTACTTATTGCAATACTTATTGCTGGTTATACCCCCCTTTACTTATCCCTAAGGTACATGATATTGATACTGTCGTGTCCGTTAAAGTGTCCTCTATCTGTTGACATCATCGGTAATATTGCTCGCGGACATATTTCTGCGCAATACGGCCAGCAATAGATTTCATCGGGCGCGCGCACAACTTATTGCTGGTTTTACCCCCCCTAACTTATCCCCCAGGTACATGATATTGATACTGTCGTGTCCGTTAAAGTGTCCTCTATCTGTTGGCATCGTCGTTAATATTGCTCGCGGGCGTATTTTTCCGCAATACGGCCAGCAATAGATTTCATCCGGCGCGCGCACTACTTATTGCTGGTTATACCCCCCTAAATTTATCCCCCAGGTACATGATGTTGATACTGTCGTGTCCGTTAAAGTGTCCTCTATCTGTTGGCATCATCGGTAATATTGCTCGCGGACGTATTTTTCCGCAATACGGCCTGCAATAGATTTTATCCGGCGCGCGCACTACTTATTGCTGGTTATACCCCCCTAAACTTATCCCCCAGGTACATGATGTTGATACTGTCGTGTCCGTTAAAGTGTCCTCTATCTGTTGGCATCATCGGTAATATTGCTCGCGGACGTATTTTTCCGCTATACGGCCGGCAATAGATTTTATCGGGCGCGCGCACTACTTATTGCTGGTTATACCCCCCTAAACTTATCCCCCAGGTACATGATGTTGATACTGTCGTGTCCGTTAAAGTGTCCTCTATCTGTTGGCATCATCGGTAATATTGCTCGCGGACGTATTTCTCCGCAATACGGCCAGCAATAGATTTTTTCGGGCGCGCGCACAACTTATTGCTGGTTTTACCCCCCTTAACTTATCCCCCAGGTACATGATATTGATACTGTCGTGTCCGTTAAAGTGTCCTCTATCTGTTGGCATCATCGGTAATATTGCTCGCGGACGTATTTTTCCGCAATACGGCCGGCAATAGATTTTATCGGGCGCGCGCACTACTTATTGCTGGTTATACCCCCCTAAACTTATCCCCCAGGTACATGATGTTGATACTGTCGTGTCCGTTAAAGTGTCCTCTATCTGTTGGCATCATCGGTAATATTGCTCGCGGACGTATTTTTCCGCAATACGGCCGGCAATAGATTTTATCGGGAGCGCGCACTACTTATTGCTGGTTTTACCCCCCTTTTTTATCCTCCAGGTACATGATGTTGATACTGTCGTGTCCGTTAAAGTGTCCTCTATCTGTTGGCATCATCGGTAATATTGCTCGCGGACGTATTTCTCCGCAATACGGCCAGCAATAGATTTTTTCGGGCGCGCGCACAACTTATTGCTGGTTTTACCCCCCTTAACTTATTCCCCAGGTACATGATATTGATACTGTCGTGTCCGTTAAAGTGTCCTCTATCTGTTGGCATCATCGGTAATATTGCTCGCGGACGTATTTTGCCGCAAAACGGCCAGCAATAAATTTTTTTGGCCGCGCGCACTACTTATGGCTGGAGTTATTGCCAGGTTCACACCAATTTAGTTAGGTAAGGTTAACCTAACCTAACTGAGTTAACCAAACGATATATCGAATGGAACAATCGATATTTTCATTCGAATGAGTGTAGGACCTAAGTTAAAGTAAAGTGCAGCCCTCTGGTGAAGTGCAGAGATTTGAATTGCTTCGGTTCTAGGGTACCGTACGTATACTTGTCAGTAGTGTGTTAAATGATTAGGCATATCTGCGAGTGATGGATATGAATTATTTAGATAAACTTAGGCCTAAGTAAGTGTGTGGCTAAGCCACACACAAGTGAGGTAACTTGCATCCCACTTGCTCTTTGGGTCCCATAAGTTAGTAACCTAGTGTTCCATATTTCTGGTTGAGATGTCATTTATGTCATCCCTCAGAAGCACTAAGGTGTGCAATATATTACTGGCTATTGACTGATAAAATGCCTAGTTCTTTGAAAATAGCCTAGGCTGACAGTGGTCGATAGGGCCGGAAGATGTTATTAGTCTAAGCGCCTTCTTCTGCAGTAGGAGCAGCACACTGGATTGTGTGGCTATGACCCCACACCACCAAACCATTACCTACCTAATTGATGTCATAACTTCATTGTATTGGTTTGTTGGGACTGTTGGTAGTAAAAAAATAAATAACTATGGATCAATGATCAATGCATGGTACATTATGAGAAGGTGGGACGTGTGATCTTGTGCTTAAACTTCCTGATTAGATATCGTATTCTGTGTAGCCTAACGCATATACCTTCTCAACATGGTGGTTCCAGTTCAGTTTGCAATCAACCCAGAATCCTAGCAGTTTGACCAAGTGTTGTCTGCGAGGAGCAGCGTTTGCTTGTTTGGGGATTAGATTCAAAGGCATCAGAGATGTTCTTGAATAGGCAAGGAGTGCAGAGGTTGTGGTTCGTCCAGTTCTTAACCCATGTTGAGAACCATTGAACAAGTTACTTATTGTTCTTGAAAAAGACTATCAGTTGACAATAACAAAATACAAAGGACAAAACAAGAATAAACATTTCAGAACAAAGTAACAACAATACAAGCTTAAACTATCACAATTTCTCGCTCTAAACATTCCTACACGCTCTAAGTTATTGTTGTTTCATAACTGCCTCCAAAGCCTTGGAAAAAACAGGAAGAATTGATATCGACTGAAAATTGGAAAGCTGTGCAGGGTCACCTTTCTTGTAGATAGGAGTTGTTTTGGCTATCTTCAGGTTGTCGGGAAATACACCTTCAGTCAAGCAGCTGTTAGCTAAAAAGCAAGAATGGCAGTAATCATTTTAAATAGCTACAGATTTGAGAATGTTACCTGAAACTCAATTTACATCCTGACTAAAAGAATCCTTGAATCTTAATACTATTTTGATCAGATCTTTCTCACTCGCCTTTTTCCAATTTTTGAGGGTGTTAGTTGGGATTAGGTTGGAGAGGTAGTAAACTGCGTTAGGCTCTAACAGAGGTAGGTCGGAAATTATTCAAGAGGTAGTCATTAAAGTTGTCAGATGATGGAGATGATGGTACATGAGTGGATGGTCTATGTTGGTTAATGTTGTCCCGAGTGGCTTTGGCTTTACATGAATTAGGAGCATCCAAGATGGTCTGTGCATTGAAAAGTGTCATAACTAACCTTCTTTGGAACTGTTGGACCTTAAAAGTTTAGGAAGGACAGAACCTCATCACACGTTACGTCCGGCAAAACTCTTGAAACAAAAAACTGTAGAGGATGATTTTAATTTGTTTTTAAATCTCACTTGAATCGATGTTGTGTTTCTACTGGTTGTTAGTTTGACTTGATTGGATGTTACTCTTCTTGGCTGTCGGAGATTTTTGAACAACAGAGGAGTAGAGTAGGCCTACTTTGGGTTGTACAATTATCAAGCTGATCGGAGAATTGTTTGAGCCACCATTACAGTTAGTTCATGTGAATTTTTACTGTGTTTTTGTGTGTTCGGATTTCTTACATAAATAGCATCAAATATTATATATTGGCTGTAAAGTCATGATGCCTAATTTGGAAAAATATGATTTTGTGGATTGTCTATTTTTCTATAATTCACTATAATCTATAATTCACAAATCTCTCTTTTGCTGTTTCAGAATTTTAAGATTTTTGTTACTAGTCCCGCCATAGCAATACTTTAAGCCATGCAAGTTGATCATGGGAGCAAAATAGATTGGTTTCAGATGGAAAATATTAGCCTACATACCTACATGAAACATTAGCCTCAAAGCGTTTTGACCAGTTGACATTTTATTTACTACATGATCAAAATGCGTATCCCAACATTAACTCAACACAACTTATTTCTCTCGTAGAGACTATCGGTAGGCCTACCTTCAACTTGATCAGGTTAAGTGAGAGACTAGGCTATCTGTGACCCTTACTTTGCCTAGGGAAATAAAGAATTTTTAGTTGACTTAAGAAATGTGAAAGAAAAATAATGTAGGCCTCTAGCTATTAGCTATTTTCATGTTGTGATTTATTTTTTAGTCCCCTGTGCTTACTTTGTTTTTATTTGCAGATCTTAAAAAAAATGGCAGACACTGAAGAGATAAAGCTAATAATTAAAGGCATTTTAGTTTCAAATCCAAATGTCTTAAAAGCAAATGCATTACTGAAGGAATGTGAAGCACATCTTGAAGGGGAAATCCCCCTCAGAAAACTTGGATTTAAGAACTTTGTAGAGTTTTTGAAATCCATCCCAGCTGTTGTCCAGGTTAGTATGAAAACATTTTTTAGTATTCCCTAGTGATAAGTTTTATTAGTCTCAACCAGTCAACCTTTACTGCAGAAAGAATTGGTTTTTTCCCCAGCTCATTCACAAAATAGCAGACCACTAATTATACAAAGTGTTTGAGTTTACTGTAAGACAGGTCTCTTAAGAGAAATGACACCAGAATACACAACCAGCATGATCAGACTGTGAGAACAAGGTTTTATTGCTGGATTTTCCCATTTTCATCTTCAAAACATAAAACTAATTTCTCTCCAAACCATGTAGAGCTCAAAAAAAGAAATATATTTGAGTAAAAATCCAATCAGGCAAATGGAAATTGGCCAAGTCTGCGGGTTTGCTGTTAAGAATTAATAGGTATTGACAACAGAAGTTTGTGATTGCAGGTTCAGGCGGGATATGACTACAACCCAGAAGTGTACCCGGTTGTGTCTAACAAGAGCAAACACATAGACCAGTTGGTGTCGAGGCAGGTATCGAGGCCGCCCAAGAAGAGAGGATTTGACAGACCTACGAGGAGACGTCGGGGTGCGGCAGAGTCTCGTCCTCCGTCACGTCCCCCTGCAAGATATAGACCCAACCAGGTAGATTGAGATATTGTACATTACATAGTTCCTGAATATGATATAGAGAGAAATCCTCTTAGAACTTGCGAAGAAATTGGCAATCAATTAATTGGTTGTCGAGTTTCCAGGGCCTGCCCACATTTTCGGCTCTTATTTGTATTCCTGGTTTTTTTTTTTAACAAACTTGAGTTTTCTTTGTTTCATGGAAATAAATTCCTTTCCATCTCTATAAGTGTGTCAAAGTTTATTGTTTTTTTCTATTTCTATCAAAAACAATCCTGTACAACTGTTATTGTTACAGAGCAACAATGCCTACAGTTCGAACAGTTACACAAATAGCACAAGGTATCCCTCGAACAATGGACCTTGCAGCTCCAAAAGCTTATCCTCTCAAGCAGACGAACGTAGCAACCAAGTTTATTACACTCAAGGTGGGTACATTGAAATATAAAATTTTAAGCCTTAACATCTGTTTGGATACTTATTTTAAATAAAAAAAACCTATGTACTTGAAGTTGAATTAAAAGAAATCTAGGTACTCAAAGTAAATAAAAAAAAATCTAGGTGCTTAAAGTTAAATAAAAAAAATCTAGGTGCTCAAAAGTAAATAAAAAACATCTAGTTACTCAAAGTTAAATTTAAAAAATAATCTAGACTAGAGGGCGTCCAGTGGTCGAAACTCAACCAAAAATATGCAATGTAGAGAACTCTCTATTTTCACACCACACTTTGAATAAAACATGCGATTGGTGTTTCTTCCATTTGTTTTTATTTTCTGATCACCAGCATGACAACTCATAAGATCCATGTAAATTTTTTCAAAATTTTAAATTAATTTTCTGTGCTTATTTTTGAGCCTATTTTAATTTATAAAGGCATTCTGCACAGCTACAGGAAAATATCTTTCTAACAGTATGCGTAGATTTTCCCTGTGATGCACACCAGCTGAGTAAAAAGGTTTTAAAGAAACATGCTTGCCTATTAATATACAGATAGATAGATGCTCAAAGTTACCTAGTTAGACTTTGTTCTAGACACACCACTTAAGTGTACCATTGAATGTTTCATCTTTACCTTACTGTACTTCTATGTGGAAATATTAAGAATGAGAATGTAATAGCACAATAATAACCTTGGTGATTTTCAGATGCTCCACAGTCCACATCCGCATATGCTACAGAAGGATGCATCCCAGCAGGGTACGAAGATGACGATGAGGATGATGATTGGTTGGAAGATGAATTAGATTCGGAAGAAGAGATGTTCCAACAAGTGACTCAAGCGTATGCCAATAGGAACGGAACATCCTCCATGTATGTTTTGAGTAGGCCCTAATGTTGTGTTTGTGCACGTGTTCTTTGACATACACTGCATGTTTCATATTAATTATTTGATTCAGATTCAGATTCTTTATTGATCTTAATTACACATGCAGTGATATAGATCTTGTCATGTTGCAATAAAATACAATGAAAAAAAAAGAATGCATAAAAACAGTCTGCAAATGCAGATTAATGTAACAAGCAAAGTAGAAACTAGCATATGCAAAGGAAGACATGATAAAAAATCTTATAAATAAAAACACTGGCCTTATTAACTGATACTTCCTTAAATTCTATGAATGGTTTGTGAACTTGTCTTCCAGTCTTTTTGTAGTCCTGCAAGATACTTTATAGTCTCTTTTCTTCCGAATCTTTAAAACTCTGAGGCATGTAATTGATGACCATGACTGTAAGTAATATACTTGTTATCCTTATTTACAGTCTGACGTAATTTTCCCTTTATCGTAATATTTGTGCCAGTCTTAGGCTGATAGTCCAAACTGTCCTGCAAAGGCTGAATCAAACGGATCTAAATGACCATTGCTAGCAGCCTAATGTTTGAGTGTCTGTAACCTAACTAGAGTTGACTTATTACAGAACCACACCACCTTGTGAAGGAGCTGCAGCGGATTGTTACGACGAAAAGACTGGTCAGAATGAATACTTGGAGGACAGATGTTATATCAGTGATAAAATGATCACCAACTTCAGATCAATCCTGGAACATCATTCAGAAGGCATTTGGGCTGCCGAGCTTCCATCGTTGTACCATGTAAGTTAGTTGATTATTATTAAGTATTGGTACAAGTGATTTTATACTTTTATGTTTCTTTTGCCAGTTAAAAAAGTCCTGAATGGCAAAATATGTTTTTTCATCCCTTACAGAAATAATCACATTTCTGTTCCAGAAAAACTTTGGAGTCCGATTTGAGCTCCACGACTTAGGATACAGAAATATTTTGTCACTGGTATCATCCTTGCCTAAAGTGTTCTCTTTTAGAAGAGAAGGACCGCATGATTGGAAGCTCTATGATGCTCGATACGTCACCCAAGAAAGTCTTGACGCCAAAGGAGAATTCCTTATAACAGGTAAATTATATTGTATGTTATTAGACTTGGATTTTATCTCCGTTCTATCAGCATGGTGTTTTGTTTTTCAAATGTGTTGTGCTTGTGTCAGAAAAACCTACTCGACATGCTCCTTTCGGTTCTCAATGTCTACCTGACTTTTTTATTTGAGTGAAAACTGTAAATTCCAAATACAGCAATATTGATCATACGAATATTTATTAGGATTTAGGCTACTTTTTTTGGATCCGTTATGTTGTTTACCTTAACATTAGCATATGTTGAAAGTGTGTTAACATTTAATTGAAATTTACTAATGCCAACAAATGCAGGCTATTTTTTTCCTGTTGTTAAGTATAGTAGGAATCAAAATTAAAGTCCCATGTCTATCCCATCAAAGAACATTAGAAATTGGTAAGTGATTGTTGAGAATACTGCATTTGGGTCTGGCTGTGTAGTTTGTTAAGGGTTGAAAAGTTTCTGTTCAGATTTTGATAAAAATTAAAATCAGTAATCAGTAAACTTAAGTAGGACATTCTTTAGGTTAGGATATTTATTTGAAGTTGTGCCATGACATCTCTGTTACGTTTCTAGATTACTTCTATTTTTCTAAATCAAATCAAACTTTATTTTAAAATTTAATGGATACCTTTGTGGCGAAATGCAGTTGTTATGGATGTTAATTAAGATATCCGGGCCCAATATATCTACTTCTATCCACCGCAAAGTTGCGCACATTTCATCTTGCTCCTCGAACCTTATTACCTTATTAAAACCAAACTAATAATCTTGTTAATCTTCTTTAAGATTTGACTAGAGTGTAAATGTTTTTGATTACAACACATTTGTGCTTTTTTTAAAAAGATTTATTATTTTTTTTATAGAAAGCGAAGAATACATACCCGACTCCATCATCACTAATGTTAAAGAACTTTTGAAGAAAAACAGGAGTGGATTGAGGAGTACGGAGCTACTGGAATACTATCTTGTAAGATGATTAGGAATGTTATTGTAATTATTATTTATGTTATTGCAGCATTTATTCATTTATTCACGGATCTACCATTTTTACATAATTTCGGAGATAATACAATACTTATTTTTCAAATACAAATGACAAAATACAAGATTTTATACTAAACTAAAACATCATGAAATGACTAACAAGATAATACAACAATTACACTTGAATTACAAAAGTTGTAACAGTTAACCAAATGTGCATTGATTAAATTTAAAGGTCTCTCTCTATATTTAAGGCAGTTGAATCCAACCCTTGTATATCTAATTCACACCCCATTTTCTCATGTCTTGGAACAAATTAAAGGCCAAAGGTTGTGATATGAAAGTTTATTATGTATTCGCTGATTTACTAAATCAGGCTAGGCCCTTGCTCTCTATTCAACATTACTGGCAAATAGAGTTGTTTACCCCTCGATACCCAGGATATTTAGTTTTAATTATTGTTGAATATTTGAAATTTCTTTTGAAGATTGTTAACTTAATACGTAAAATTCATGCAAGTTTGATACGTAAAAATTAGTCTGTTACCTATGTATTACCGTAATTTATCATACCCATAAAAAATTTCAATGTTCTGGATAACTTGACAACATCCAAACTCCACAATCTCTGGGTCCACAAATTGTGGAGTTAAGGTTTAACTGTACCAAAAAACCATTGCACTTCTTTTCAATCAATAGCACTGCCATAGAACAAACAAACGGTATCAGCAATCTGACTCATCATTTCTCCGATTTAGCTTTTCAAAACCTTGTAGGATGGGCAAATGGTGGAGTTACTAGTATATTATTAATTCTTCAATCTTCAATTCAGTATATTTTATAGGAAAAAACACAAAGCTGCAATAAATTTTAATAATTTTTACAGGGTTGAGGGTAATGCCATTTTATTAAGAGTTAAAAGGGCCATAACATACAACATTTTAATCATATTTGTTTGAGGCGTTTGTGTAACAAGTTTTCTGTTATATTTGGGGGTTTTATGGAAAAAATCACTACCGGTATTAAAAATCATGATTCTTAAATATTTAAAAAACCAGAGATTCCATATTTTATTAGTGCCCATTTAACAGAAATCATCAAAATCCTCTTTACACCTCAACACACACATAGACAACTTCAAAAACTACTTTTTTGGGTCCAGGTTTGGAAATATCCCGAAATGGATATTCCCACCCTAATCTCAAAACTACAAATCTTTTACAAAAACAATACTTACGCCACATGTTATGTATAGTGAGGAGAAAGTGAAAATGATCATGTTCCATGTGATCATGTGTGATAATATTCACTGTATAGGTGTTAAAATTGTTTATACAAGTTGATAATTTTTGCTGCTCTGCTAGCTTGATTTAGATGTGATTGTTTGTAAGTAAGATTGTGTGTTTGTGGTTTTTCAGGAAGAATACAACAAACCATTGAAGCTAGATTTGCTCGGATTGACGATGAATGAGTTTGTTAACCACTTGAGAAAGCATGTGTCTGTAAAAACTTGTAGTGATTACTACTTTTTGTTACCAAAGCATGAGCGCATATCGTACGAAGCATTACAGCCGCCTGAAAAGGATGAGAGATTGTTTGTTACTGTAAGTCTTGTCAGTAGTAACTTTGTCCATAGAAATTGTTACTGAGGATGTCATAGATTTTAAGGTGTGGTTTTTGGAATTCAATATAATATGCTATGTTATTAAATAACCAGAACAGTATAAAAGTATTACCGTACTTAATCTGACAAGTGTAGCTGCTTGAAACGGAAGGTGGCTGGTTGAGAAGGCATTGGTCATGTGGATTCTACAATAAATTGATAACATTTTAAATTTATGCTATATTTTTGTTATTTTGTTTACATTTTGTGTAGAAATCCCCACAAACAAGCTACTAGGCCTACTCCATACCAAAAGTTTGTCTGATTGCATAATATGTGGCGTCAAATAGATGGGAAAAATTCATTTAATCAGTATATTTTATACACCAAACCACAACAAATTAAGGTACAGAGACACACTTATGGTATGACCATACACTTCCTGCTCTGGTACGTTGTGTACAACGTACATATCCAATTTTATAAACTAGACATAAAAATGTATTTCTCTCAAATGACTAGCCAAAATACAATTCAAATACATTTTTATACAGTATTAAATATATTAAGGTAATACAAGGTAACACTAAAATAATAAAATAAACGACAGGTAACTGAAGACAGTTGAACATTAGATAAACGAGCAAATAAATATACTATTGATGAGTAAGGTAGGGCCTGAACGGCCAGCACTGCACGAAAATTCCTATGGCACAGGGTCTTCCTCCACTGTGAGCGTTGTAATACATGAGGGCGAAGGAGGCATTATTGGACTCTGTCGTTGTGTTGCCCTTTAAGGTATCAAATAATAATAGCAACTGTTCTCTTATTTAATTACCAATTTTGATAATAACAAAGGATAGGTTTCTTGGTTACGAAATCACAATAGCTTACTTTTAAATACAACTCGAATAAAAGAAGTACAGTAACTAAATTAATGTGAACAGTTTCTTCTAAAATACTATTGAATGGGCGAAGCACACCGTTTTAAATTGATTGAAAAGTCTAAAATGTATCTCAGGGTCGGTTAACGGAAATGTAGCGAGGCTTGTTGTGTGTAGAAACAGCAAGGTTAGCTACTTGAGTTAGGTCACTTCTGGACTACTAGAGTAGACTCAGAACAACTCCCATTCTCTTTAATAGAAGCAAAAAAAGTGTAAATAGAGCTAACACCTTCTTCATCAATGTACAATAACAACGAACAAGTAAAATACTATATTCCTGATCATTATTCTATTTAAAATTATGCATTTATATTTTTGAGATAACGTATTCCTTTTATTTATTTTGTTAACCATGTATAGTAAATAATGTAGGGATGGTCAAGTCTCGAAATTTCGGGAAATTTTCGGGAAATTTTAATTCTCGTTACACGAGACGAGATTTCTTTTTGGCCGAGATTTTTATCGAGACAAGAATAAAAAAAAAAAAAAAAAAAAAAAATTAATAACGCCTGCAGAAAGTCAATGCAATACCCGCAATACAGGAGTGTGTTGTAGTTGCGTTTCCTTTGCGAAGGCGTTTTTATTTTATAAATTCTTTCAATGTAAATATTCATTTAATTATTTTAATAATATTACTTTAATAACATTTGAGAAGTTTTGTTAAGTGTAAGCAGTGTGAGGAATTTTTTATTACTATAAAAAGTCAAAACAAGTAACTATTTTATAAAAATTAATATTGCTTTTATTTTATGATTTATTTTATTTTAGGATAAGTTGAACTCTATCCTAACTGATATCACTATGTTTCCTAATCGTAGGCATTTTTAATAAGTTAGGCGTGATTAATAAAAAAATGTTATGCTGATGTGTTTTAATAAAATATTGTAAATATTCTTGCCTATTATCATTATTTTTGTATTTAAACAGTCATCTAACAATGTTACAAAATCAGGTAAAAATTTTGAACGCGCATTTCCCGTTGTGTATGAGAAGGGAAATCCCGTGTCGATCTCGTCTCGAAATTTTATGAGAAATAAAAAATCTTGTCTCGTCTCGTCTCGAACTAAAAATCCAATCTCGTCCATCCCTAAAATAATGTTTATAAAATAATATTAAGTTAGTACTTACACCATTACATCCCCTAGTCACCAGCACTAGTGCTAGACACCACTTGTGTTTATTGTTGAATGTTTCCTTTGTACTTTACTTGTCAGTGCCAAATCCCGTGTGCCTCTTTTCTTTTCTCGTATCTACGCCAGTGACATTTTTATTATGAAGTCATTTCAAAAACTTTTACGAGACAGCGGTCCAAATCCATCAAAGTTTTGTGGATGTGCCGGTGATTGAACCCATCCCTCCCGCACCGAAGTCCGAGATGCTAACCACTAGGCTAGCAACACAACCACTTGTTTGGTCAGTAATGTTAACACTGTCTAGGTGGAGTCCCTGAGTGGGATGGTACCCTCAGAGGTGGTCAAGTATGGTGAGGAAATTCCGATGCAAGCCCTTCCTCCTGTACAGGACTCTGGGCCTGACGATCCTCTTATGGAGTTAGAAGTGCGCATAGGCGAAGTTATGTCTCCAACCTACTTTTACTTCATGCTAAGCAATTCCTATGAAAGTCTAGAAAACATGATGGATGACTTACAGTAAGTGTCTGCAATATATTTGTACTGTTAACATCATTATCATCTATAATGAAATTTTGATTAAGTTTTACAAGAACCAGCACAATGGCCAAGATCAAAATATTCAAAACATTGACAAAGTGAATTGATTTTAACGCTGTTTAGGAACATGGAAGGAAAAAACGTAGGTGTGCTATTCCCGTCATATGCTGAATCACCCAGATTGCAAACACCATTTCACTCTTTAGAAAAAATTATAAAAAACAATAACAATTAAATCAAAACAACTATGTACTTATATAGTAGTTATCAGGTGATTTTCTGTTTGCAATCCGGGTGACGTCACCCTTATATACCTATGTTTTTTCCTTCCACCATGGTTTAGGAATGTTACAGAAGAAAATGTAAAAATTGTTCCCTGTGATTGTGCCTGAAAAGAATGTTTTTTAACAGAAATCATAAGATAGGAAATCACAGTTAGTCCAGTCAAGGAATGAGGTGTAGAGTGCGTGAGTTGGTAACTAAGCGATTCCTTCAGAAACTTGTTCAGGGGGCTTAGGGTGTTAACATACCAAAAGTCCTGACTCCTAGGTGGTGAGCCAGTGGGTGGAGGGGGGAAAAAGGGGGGGGAGAAAGGTACGCATTTTGGGTTTTTTGATTATATCTCAAAAACTATCAACTTTTTGTATACTATAGTAAATTATAAAATTGAAGAAGATTAAATATTCTACAAGAAAAGTATATAATGTGTTTATTTTGGTTCAACAGATTACGAGTTATAACTTTTTTAATTAATATCTTATCAAAATACTCCTTCCATAAGAAATACATGTAAATTAGTATGTGAAATGGGGCGAACCCTATCCGCCCAAAGGAAATATAACTGATATTCTGGAAATCTTGACAAAATTTCCAGTAATTTGACACTTTAATCATTAAAATTGATCCAAAATTAAGGCGAGGGCGAGGTAACAAAATGTCGAGTTTTGGTGTTTTTTTATTGGAAATATACAAAAAACCTCAAATCATCCCGTTTTTAAACGCTCACCCTCGCTTTAATCTTTGACAAAATTTCATGATTAAAGTGTCAAATTACTGGAAATTTTGTCAAGATTTCCAGAATATCAGTTATATTTCCTTTGGGCGGATAGGATTCGCTCCATTTCGCATACTAATTTACATGTATTTCTTATGGAAGGAGTATTTTGATAAGATATTAATTAAATAAGTTATAACTCGTAATCTGTTGAACCAAAATAAACACATTATATACTTTTCTTGTAAAAAATTTAATCTTCTTCAATTTTATAATTTACTATAGTATACAAAAAGTTGATAGTTTTTGAGATATAATCAAAAAACCCAAAATGCGTACCTTTCTCCCCCCCTTTTTCCCCCCTCCACCCCCTGGCTCACCACCTAGGAGTCAGGACTTTTGGTATGTTAACACCCTAAGCCCCCTGAACAAGTTTCTGAAGGAATCGCTTAGTTACCTGCTCACGCACTCTACACCTACTTTTGGATCATTCATTGACTGGACTAAGTTTGGTTCAGGTTCTGTTTATTTTGCTTTGAATTTTATAGCATTTTATATCTTTCTTGTAATATTGTGGAATTTGTGCAAATTTGTAGGTTAATATGTTATATATTCGACTTAACCTTTTGGCCTACATTTTTGAACATTCGCCATGAAAATATAAATTTCATGGAGGTGATTTTGGAGTAAATCGTGCTGGGAGAAACTCTAAATGGATAATACTGTTCACTTGATTGAATGAAATTGTTGACTTAAAAAGACACTAGAAGAGCCTGCTTGGTTGAAACGTTTCACTTAAAAAACAAAAAAACAGGAGCCTTTTTTTTAATTAAAAAACACAGGAACCTGATTGATTGAAACTCTTCACTTAAAATAAAAAAACAAAAAAAAAACACCGAAACCTGATTGGTTGAAATTGTTCACTTAAAAATTAAAAAAAAACACAGGAGTCTGCTTGTTTGAAACGTTTCACTTAAAAAACACAGGAGCCTGAATGGTCAAAGCTTTTCACTTTGAAAACACAGGAACCTGATTGGTTCACTTTAAAAACACAGGAACCTGATTGGTTACAACTGTCCTCTTTAAAAACCAACAGCTGATTGAAATTGCCTGAATTCATTTACAGTAATGCCAACAAGGATAATTAGAGGTTCTCTTGGTTAGAATTTTACAAAATACATTTCGAAACAATAAATGATTTGTTTTAGTTTTTGTACAACTCGCTGACCAATTTTTAATCACTTTGTATTGTTACAGTTTTTTGTACCAAAGGGAAGAGGATAAGTATAAAATACCAATACCATACATAAGAAAAGACCTCTATTGTGCCGTGAAGTATTGCGAGTTCTGGCATCGAGCAAAAGTAGTGGAAGTCAAGGGTAACGGTATTGCTGCGGTATGTTTTGCTCTTTAGATTCTGCATTTATTTCTTTGTAATAGTCATATTTTACCTTCAAAACCTAAGCCATTACAAATCTTGTTTAAGGGTATGGTGTAATTTTTTAACTAGGTACAAAAATATTTTGTGTACAACCATAGTTAAAGAAATTGAACTTTTAAATGGACATCAAGAAAGTGTAACAAGTTTTGTAAAAGACTTTGTACCTTGAAAAGGTTGACTCTACTATTTTTTATTTTTTTTTTGGGAGCGAGCTGGCGTAGTGGTTAGAGCGCGGGACTTCAGTCCCTGAGGTTCGATCCCCGCCAAGTCACCAATGGATTTTATCTAAGTGATAATGCCGCAACCCCTAGGTCTAACCTGAAGTAATGTGAAAAACAATCCCAGGCTCGTGCCTAGCGTCCTTAGGACAAAAAAAAAACTATTTTTTTTTCAAACCAACAAAATCACTATTTAAACCTAAGTTATGTTTTATAGAAAAAGCTAAGTGTTTGGCAAGGATTTTTCTAAAGGTTTCAAGTTTAACTAACTTAACTGAGGAATAAAGAGTCTAGGGCTGATGAAAATATATATAACAAATTACAAAATGGTTTTGGGATCTTTTATTTGCGTATTGTTAAGCCTCCGGACTCGATTTGTCTCAAATTAAACTATCTGAGCTCTATCACTTTAAAAAAAAAATCCATTTCTTAACATCTATTAGATGACATAGTGTTTTTAATACCTGTTTTTATACCTTACCTAGTTGGTCACTCGAACCTAAGCAGGTTTTTGGCCTCGCCAACAGCTTTTAAAGCAGCTAAAAATCTCAAAGAAAATATTTAATAGTGTAATATAAGTCTGGCAAAAACACCAGCGTAAAAAACTTTACATTTTTTATTAGAATTAATTTAGTTTAAGGAATTGCACGATTTCCACTCGTATATACAAAAATAGCACCTCTCACACTTTCAGATTGAGTACATTGACTACGGAACACCAGCCACCAAAGAGTGCTCACACCTTCGTTTCTTGACCAAAGACTTTGCACAACTACCGGCGCAAGCAATTTGCGGCAAGCTCATCGGTGTGAAGCCAAAGAATAATGAAACCAAATTTACAAGAAAAGTCAATGACGAGTTTTTGGATATGGTCACAAACAAAAGACTGATAGCACATGTGTACCAAGTCACTGAAAGGTTTCTTCACAAACAGGTAAATTGAATCTTTTTAAAGCATGACAAATCTGCTTGATGCAATACTTGTTTTATGTAGTATGGGGATTTTTAAGACTGGTAAGACTGATAAATTGCCTATCCCAAAGTGTGATAATAAACGCTTAAACACTTACATAAAGCACAGAATCTCCATTTTGAATCAGTGCTAACGCTATTTCAGTAGTGGGACTGCGGTGTGGCCTCGTCGCAGCCTTGTATTAGAGGACGCCATCGCGTGATTTTATCCTGCAATCACAGCAAATTACTGACGTTTAGTTTGTACATTAATATTAAAAACTTTAATACCTAGGCAAATCTAAACTAATGATTGTATTTTTTCAGACAAAAGTACAGTTCGAGATAATCCTCTTTGACACTGAAAATCCTAAAGGGGAAATAGTACTCAACGATCATCTGATAAGGACAGGGCTGGTCAGTCCCATCCCGCCTGAGGTGTGTAGTCTGTTTATAATTTAATTCCTAAGCTTGATATACAGTAGTCTCAACTAGGCAATCGGTTATTTGACCTGTGGTATCCAATCCTTATTTATGGCCAAATACCACAAACTGTGTGCTATTCTGTGTGGCAGACTGTACACTGCTGTAAAAAGTACTGTAACAGATGTTAAGCCAACTAGTTTCACTGTCCTGACCAACTCAGAGGGTTCAGACTCCTACTAATAAAAATCCTTTATTCAAACAGTACATTGATACATGAATTGTGTCAAGTCAACGATTAAACATATGTTTTATAAATTTGCAGCACTAATTAATTAAGAGCCATTTACAACTCTCTCCCTAACAACTACTGCAACAAACTGATAATATGAACTGCTGTACTTCAATTACTACCAGGCCCGGACTGGGACCATTTGGTGCCCTTAGCTATATGCAATGAAATGAAATGAAATGAAATGAAATGATTTATTGTCGTTAAAACTATGTACAAAGTTCATGACAATCGTCAAAATAAAAACAAAACAATCAAGATGGCTCTGGCAACTAAAATATCTAAAACTCTAAACCAAAGTACTCTTCATGTTTATACAGGCAAGCCTGGGTTAGAGTAGTTTTTATAGCATGTTTGAATTTTAAAACACACAGGTTTTTGATGGATGCAGGCAAGAAATTGTACATTTTAACACCTTGGTACTCAAAACTATTTTGAGTGGCTGTATACTTATGCCTTAGTGTAGACAGATTATCTTTTGATCTAGTACAGTAGTTGTGCACATCAGATATCTTTTCAAAGTGAGAAATGTTTTCTTTTACATATAACAAACTTGCCAAAACATACAAAGATGGAAATGTGAGAATGTTAAGACCCACAAAAAGGGGCTTACAATGTGTTCTTCTATTCACACTACAAATTAACCTCACCGCCTTCTTTTGTAAAGTAAAGAGCAACCTGTTAGCATAAAAACTGTTGGCCCACAGTGAGGTACCATAGGACAAATAGCTATGAATGTGGCCATAATATATACAAATAAGGACATCAACTGAAACAGTGGATCTAAGTGCTCTTATCATAAATATGCCTTTTACAATCTTAGAAGCTACAAAATCTACATGTGAAAACCACTTCAAGTTTGACTGCAAGTGAAAACCCAAAAACTTCAGAGTGTTTACATCATTACCATTACTGCTAAGACTAATAGTTAGGTCTTGAGTCTTATCAGCATTAAGACATAACTTGTTTGCATTACACCAGTCATTAATAACAGCAGATTTTGTATCCAATGTATCTGTAACGTCATTCAAAGAGTTACCCCGTACACACAAGGCCAAGTCATCAGCAAAAAGAAAGCTTTTTACAGATAAGTCATTAATATTACAAGGTAAGTCATTTATATACAGTATAAACAGGGTAGGGCCCAATATAGAGCCTTGGGGCACTCCGTGGGGCACTCGAACAGGGCTAGAATAAGTGCCGTTTAGATAGACTTTTTGCCATCTGTCACTTAGATAAGATTGAAAGAACTTAACCAAAACTGCATCAAGGTTATAGCAAGAAAGCTTATCCACAAGGAGATCATGAGCCACTGTGTCAAAGGCCTTAGACATGTCGTACGATCTAAACACTATACCACTTTTGGCCTCTAAACTTTGAAAGCAATTTGATATCAGTGCCTGGGTTGCTTGGACAGTGCTGTGTTTGGGCCTAAAGCCAAACTGACTACTTGCTAAAAGGTTACTATCCTCAAGATACTGAGAAAATCTACGATGTACGAGATGTTCCAAGACCTTCGACACTGCAGGGATAATAGATATAGGCCTATAGTTAGCAATAACATTTTTAGGCCCCTTTTTATGGACTGGTATAACCTTAGAAATCTTGAACTTGTTTGGGTAGCAACCTTGTGTTATACAGAGATTAAATAGGTATGTCAAAACTTCACTTATGTAACTAGAAGCTAACTTCAAGATGGGGACATTAATTCCGTAAATATCTAAACAAGAGCTATTGTTAAGACTGTTGATGGCTGCATACACCTCTTCTACAGTAAATAGTTCAAGCCTAAAAGCATTGTTGTCCTCAATAGTCGGAAGAACGTTGCAAGATGTCAAATTACTTAGATATTGCTCAGGACCATTAGAAGAGGCGGGAACATTACTTCTCAGGTTTTCAACACAGTCGACAAAGTAAGAGTTCAGTCCATCGGCAGTTAGGCAGTCAGGAATAGACAAAGGCTTACTGTTACAGTTGCTTAATTCATTAATGATTGACCAGGATGTTTTAGAAATATTACTAGAGTTTTGCAATAAACTGTTGTTATGGTCAAGTTTGGCTTTCTTGATTTCTTTGCGGTACTGCAACTTTAATGAGTTGTACTTAGTTTTAATTTCAGCAGTCCCTGCATTACAAAACAAAAAATATAGCCGGTCCAGCTCATTTTTCATTTTTACAAGTCCTTGATGATACCACCTTTTGTTAGGTTTGTTGTTAGAACCGACAGTTTTCAAAGGAATCGAACTATTTAAGGCCCACAACAGTTTGTCGAAAAACACTTTGAATTTAGCATTTAAGTCTAGGCTATGGTCATACAGTTCAAACCAATTCAACTGGCCAAGGTTAGATAAAAATGTTAAAGAATTCTGAGGATTTAATTTCCTAGTAACTTTTCTCGGTAAAGAAATTGGATTAGATTTAGAATATGACTCAATGTTCATTGACAGAAAGGCCGCATTATGATCTGAGACAGGAGTGTGTATAACTGAGGCTTCCCATCTATCTGGGTGTACTGAGGTCACAATATTGTCCAAGCAGGTACCTTTGTTTACACTTCCAGCTGCAACATTAGGCCTAGTGATTTCATTAATTGCAGTGTGAAGACCAAAACTAGATATTAGGTTTTTAAGTTCCCGGACTTCAATGCTGTCAGACAGGAAGTCTATGTTAAAATCACCTGTGCAAAAGAAGTCAAGTTTCACACCATGCATAGTTGAGAATACATCATGCAGTTTATCCAGAAATAAAGAAACATTACCTGAGGGTGGTCTGTAGAAGTTTACAATCACTGTTTTGTACTTAACGATGTACACCGCTGAGGCTTCAAACGTGAGTTCTTCCACTAATATACTCAAATTTAACTTATCGTAAATTATAAAGTCTAGGTTCTCTTTTACAAGTATAGCAGACCCACCATGTTTAGACATTGATCTAGCAAAAGAGGTTGCAACTAAGTAGCCTCTTAGGCTTAAGCTATTAATATCATTTTGCGAGACCCAGTGTTCAGTCAAACAAATCACATCCACACTACTGTCATACCCAAGCAATCGTAGATAATCTAGTTTGTTGGTAATAGATTGAATATTCCACAGGAGGATGTTTAATTTTTTAGCTGACCTAGATAGTGTTTTATTAGATGACTGGGGCAAGCAAATGTTAGAGGAGTTCCCAATCGCTTTGTTATGCGAAGAGAGTTGTGTGTCAGAGTTATCTGACACTTCAGACTCTACGTTAAATCTACAGAGTCGGGGGGAGTTTCTAAAAAATTTTCCTGGTGCTTAACAGTGCTTGTTGCTTTTTTAGCAAACCTGAAGGCATTTATATATGCCCCAGTAGGCCAGAACTCAGGCAAATATATTTTGTCCCACAAGTGAGCAGGAACCCCTACCTTAAATGTTCGATAGCCTGGGAATCTGTTCCTCATTTGTGTGACTTTATAATCACCACTAATTTCATCACTTATATATTTATTAACTGTGTCACAGTCAACGTCTGTAGCCAGCCTTGAGATAAATAAATACCTGTATTTGTTGACAGTTTTTAGTTTGTTGCTAGTATTGGCAGAACCTGTGATAGAATTTTCGTTATTAAAATGTTGTTTTCCAGAACTTTGTATTTGTTTGTACACCTTCTTAAGACCATTAGTGTTAACTGCACTTGTACTTGTTGTAGTTGGTAGGTTAGGGTTATGTTTATACGGTTTTGACAGTTCAGTTTGACGTTTTCCACCATTCCTCTTCACTGATGTTTTTTGTTTGGCAGGCGTAACAGTTTCGCTGTTTCGCTTGTCTACTACAGGAGCAGACGTCGCAGGAAAACTAGCAGAACTTTTGGCGGCAGACGACACGGGCAAAGTAGTCGAATTATTGACAGACTGATGACAACTACTAAGATTATAATTAGAATTGTCTTTATGATTGTGAATAATATTCTTTGAGTTGTCATTTGAAGATTTAGATGAGTCTATAAATTTTTCACTATTAGCAATCATTTTAGATTTATTTCTCAAAACACTTGCAAAAGTGTTACTATCTTTTAACATAAGATCACTGACAGCCTCTGCCTGATTAGACAAAGCAGTTTTTAACCTTACATTTTCTATTTTAATTTCGGAAATTTCTGCTTTAATTTCTGAGTTGTTTTGAGATAGTTCATTGATTTTTTATATCAAATATTCAATTTTCTCTGAACAAGGGCAGATATGGTTGACAATTGAGTTGGTGTCGTAAGCTACCGAATTGTCTGTGTTGTTACTCACGTTACTTTCAGCGACGGAGCATATATCACACTTCCAATCAATTTGAGAACAATTTCCCACAAAGTTTGATTTTGATAAACTGGTACAATTTAAATGAAACATATATTTACATTCACCACTACATTGGATTTTGTCAGATTTTAAATTAATGATTTTGTTACATGAGCCACATTTTAGTGACTTGTTTCTTGGCGGAGCCATCTTGATATGGTGCTATCTATACCGGTGGATTTTTAAAAATTAAGTGCTTGGAAACGAGTTTTTGCATTTTTTTGGCACTTATAGAAATTATAGAAACAAGTAGGTTTTATAGAAGGGTATTTACTTAGCCTATCGTATATTATTAAAATCAACTTTGTTATTTATTAAAATCCAAAATTCACGTTATATTCTAAAATATTTATTTAATTTTAAAATAATTTTTGGAAATTATTGTAGGCTTTAAATACTAAAGAACCGGTACCCTAAACATTCTATGGTATGACATGGAGGGAGTACCTACCTACAATTGTTGTCCGTTTAGATTGGCTCGGTGAAAAGATGGTGTTATAGATATCACTGAAAACAGTTAATGAAAACATCCTCCTCTGTTGGGGCTCAACTAAAGTTCATCCATTTTTATTCTAAAAATAACTACAGCAGTCTAATGGGAATGGAAGAGCTATGTATATAGTCAACGAAAATAAGAGAACATTTCATGTCTAATGGTATTTTTTGTTAACAGGAAAGTTTACCCCAAAAACTGGAGCCTGAGACTAACCCAATCTTAGAAAGTGATCCCAACATGTTATCCACAAGTAATATTCTATTCAGTGATGTATCCCCCGAAGAAAATGGCACACCACCTACCCTTCTGCCGAGTGGAAATGCGTCATTACCAGAAGACATCTCTTCAATAGCGAGTGGATCAACTTTACTTCCAGGAGATGACCCCTCGATAGCGCTTCTACCTAGCTCGGTAAATGTTTCTACAAAATGTCCAACTCTTTTCAAACGAATTGTCAAGTGTCTTTTAAAAAAACGCGACAAAAGTATAGATATTTTATCCCATCACTACTCCTTGGAATGTCCTAGTCAAAGCGAACCTGATAAAAACCCAAGTCCCGCTACGACTGAACCGATAGTACCTGAATCCAAGCAAAACGCTCAAGAATCTTCAGATTCAAGGGATATTAAAAGTATTTTGGCCAAAATAAAAGAGAGTCGGAAGGGAAATCCTTTTTTTGTGCCTAAGAAATCAAGCAGTGAGGGTTTAAATGGTACATGTTGCTCGGTTAATTCGCTTGAAACTTCTCCTCCGCCACATACCACTAATGGTTTAAGTAGTGAAACAGCTAACAGATCTGAGTCAGAAAATAGTATTCTAGAGAGTAAGTCTTCTGTTGGTTCAGTTTCTGAACTTCCTCTACGCAATGGTTTTACATCACACTCAAATCCTACAGAAGTAATTAAAGAGAAAGATTCACAAGTTGATGTATTAGCAATAATTAGACATGTTAGAGCAAAAAGAAGTAAGGCACAGTAATGGATCATAGGTTTAGGAAAGTTCTACGAAAGTAATCCTGTACAGTAGATCCCCTCTTCACCAATCCTAATGGGACTGGACCTAGTTCGGATAAAAAAAAGTCGGTTAAAACTGGCAATTCCTAAAAACTAAAAAAAATGAAGTGCACTTCAATTGGAGTTATATAATATAATCATTATTTTGAAGTTTTGCATGCATTATTTACACGATAAACTACACTAATCTCGATATAAAAGTCTTAAAAACCCCAAAACATGTTACGGTAAAATACTTTCAGTGAAATAAATTATAGTCGTATAGAGTCAATAAAAATTCTTATTTTAATACCTAATAACTTTATTTTAATTCTTATTTTAATATAATATTAGTTGTGCTTATTTAAGATAAAAATGCAGAATAACTTATTCTTAGTAACATCCTGTAGAGTTTAGCGTAATGTTTCCATCACCAAGTGTGGGAGCGGAAATGCGGGGATTAAGTGGCGGTTAAACCAAACTGCTCTCAAAATAGTCGGTTAAAACAAACTGTAATATTTTTCAAGCTAGTTTGGATAATTTGTTTATCGTTTGACGCAAGTTTGGTTAAGAAGGGGTCTACTGTAGAAATATTTGGAAGTATATGATATTAATTACATGACTTAAAGGCAAGAGAAATATTTTTTCAAACATTTTTTAAATTCTATGTAGACTGTTAATTCCTAATCAACTACTGAGTAAACATCCAATGTACATATTTAGATTAATGTGGACAAGTATCATTAAAAAACTAATACCTTTTGTTCAGGAGCAAATTTAAATTTTAGACTGATTGAAGGAATGTGTTTAATCGTTCTTCACACTCTGTACAAATTTAGCCTACTTCAAATTTTATTAACAAAACTAAAGTTGTTAATATTTTTGTTAAAATAGCATTTTTTACGTTGTTTATTAACATTAATTATGCTGCTATTAATATCAGCAAATAAGATCTTGTTGTGTTATTGTTCTCAAACTTTTTAATTCTCTTCATTAGTTTTACAACATAACATTTATAGTCGTTACATTAGTTTTTAAACACTTTTTTTGTTGAAGAACAGTTGTTAACGGTTTGGTTTGTTACACAACCTTAAAAGTAACAAATATGCTTTTAAGACAAAGTATTTTCTTTAAATGTCTTTGTTCCATGTATATTGTTTGGGAAAACTTGTGTTTTATCAATACAGTTTTATTCACACTAAACATATAGTATATTGTAAAATGTATTCTTGTGTTAAATAAATTGAAACTTTGTACTTTTTGTCTTATTTGTATAGTTTTTCTTTATACAAAGCACATGTTTTCCCTTATAATGTATATGGAATTACCTTGGCATGCACTAACTTACATCAGTGATGAATTTATGAAGCTATTCTTTACATTGCTTGACAAAATTTTAACTCTTGGTGATAAGATGAAGCTTATTTTTGGACATAACCATGTGCTTTGTTGAGAAAAATTATTATCCATTTCTCTCTCATTTATCTAAGTTAATTTTCTAGTGAGATTTTTCCACTATATATTTTTATTTTTTGTTTGGGGTTATAATAGATGCACTACCAAGTTAAATATAGTATGTCCTTCTGACCCTCTTTTGTTAATAGTTAACAACTATAAATAATAATAAACTTCTCTCATATTAAACAAATAATTGTGGATTTTAATTTTATATTTTAAAGACGAAACTAAAACCATACGTCACTTGATTTAAAGAATTACTTAATAATATAGACAAATAGAATAAATATAGACCGCCAGCAGTGCTGCGGTTAGCATAGGTTCTGGCGCCAAACGCTAGGCGAGGAGCGCAGGAGCCGTATACTTCCAGCAGACGCTGCAGCGGTGTGCGCTGTAACTACATGGCACTCCTAGCGGTGGGCGCCGGAACCTTCCCTTGACAGTCTATATTTATTCTATTTGTCTATGATAATACTATATTGAATAAGTCACCTTGAGTTTTTAGGTACAATCAATGTTAAGTTTTATCCACACAAAAATGGAAAAAAGTTTTTTATCATACTGTCCGGAAAACAGCTGTTTTTAGTGCTCTAAATAGTCTGCAAAATCATCATTTTTGGGTAACTTCAAATAGGGAACAGAACAAACATATGGTAAATTTGTTCAGTTCGCTAACCTAAAAATTGTATTAGTCATTATGGACGAAAACACAAGACACATTGGAAAAGTCCAATTTAATAATAGTAACACAAAAATATATTATGGAAACGCTGCTAATCACACAATATTTAAAAGTTATGTTTGTAAACAGGAGAAATGTAAACAACGATGACGACTTTGTTTAACCTCAAATTATGTGTTCTAATTTTGTAAAGATTAAAATGTTATTTCCACAGTATGGTGAAAATAGTTGCTCATCGAACATGGAGCGAAAGTGTCTTTTTGGTAATTGTCTTAATTGTATTCCCAAACACGATTGCGTACCAAAAAGAGCCTCTTTCGCTCCTTGTGATGAAAATTACTATTATATTTGCTTAATTTTCCAAACACAGTATACCCCTAAATTCGCCTCAGATAAACAAATATTTTCATTTTCATCCATTCACCTCACTCAGTACAGCAAACCTTAATTAATAAGAACATTACTAAATCCAGACAGCAGTTTATAGTATTTTCATGAAGCTAAGTCAGGAGAGTTCCGTTGAAAAAGGCAGTTTTGCCGGGTAGAATGGTGTAAGTAGCGTATATCCCTGTGTGAGTGTAGTGGTTCCAACAGGGAAAGGGCTAAGGTACCAATGTACTTAGTTTGATGGTAATTAGTTTATGTTATTTAAGAAATGATTACAGACATTGTGATAAAAAATGTCCGTAATAATCTCTCAAATACATAATCATGTTGTTACTACGGTGTGTATTACCTTTGACTATTGATACAACCAGACATTCCATTCTCATGTTAAATTTGTCACTAGATTTTTAATAAAAACCGCCGTAGTTGATGTGAGATTGTGCTGATATAAATTACTAAATTCTATCAAATACGAACTAATAGAATGACTTATTGTGAGCTATAGCAACTGTTATGACCCATTAACTTGGCCAGAAACAAAAGATAAGGTGTATAATAGAATTTCGGCTCACACAACTACATATTCTTTTTAATACAAAAATTGTTGACAGTTGGTCCACATAGATGGGATGTCTCCTTCAATATCCAATAGTTAATGGTATTATATTTGATACATTTTGCTATTCAGATATTTTAAAACATCCGTATTTTATTTGTTTTTACACAACACTATTCAATCAGTTTCTGTGAAAGGTGTCTTGTTATTTAAGTTACATACGATTCTAAAACGGTCCTGAAATAGTCCTGCTTTACTTCATACTTAAATAATCTAGACAACTTAAACAAAGTACGGATTATTGAGAGGTTGCTGTACCCAAAAACCAAATTTAAAAATCACATCTCAACATGTCTCGCCCAATCCACAGGGCTTTTGCTAAATTAAATCGTTTTTTTACACATGAACTTATTTTACATGAATCTAGATTGATGACCAGCTGAAGTTTGTGTTGGAATCCTTACTCCAAAATTACTCCCCTCCTCATCGGATCTCCTCTATCCCCTCTCTTCCATATAAGGTAAACACTTTTAGTTGTACAATTTTTAGTTTTAGATCTTTGACTGATGATTTAAGTAGACATCCTGTTTCCTTGTTATAACTTTAGTCAGTTTTAGTATAAATATGAACAGTTGAATTGAGTGACCGATGGAGTGATGTCAGAACTGATTTCTGAGGAATATGACAACTTTTTTCTGTCACATCAACTCTCAACAAAACTAGGGGTAAAGTTCCGTAGAGAACCTGCAATATATTATTGGTTTAAATATATCGATTATATATGGTTTGATATTATAATTGCCTTGATTTTAATTTTTTAATATACAAGTAAAATCATTGATAAAGTTGTTTCTTTTTATCCTTGGTTTCATCCTAAATTTGTACAATTAAAAATTACAGTCCTATACAGTTTCTAACCCTATGTGGTAAACCATATCAACAAGTTTTGGTTATTGTTTGTTTTGTTAACGTTCTTAAAATATATTTTGTTATTGAATATTGATTATTGATTGAATAACTTATTCATAAGTTAGTTTTGTTTATTAAACATTTAAAAAAATGTGAATAGATCATAACTCAATTTGATGTTTACAATGGAAAGACATTTTGAAGGGATATATCGAATTGAATTATAAATGCTTTTAACCGATGGCGATAATATATCATAGGTTCTCTGCAAAACTGAACCCTCAAAAAGTAAGGAAATATTATTTTGACGTAGCATACACCTTAAGTAGTTCATTCAACTGTGTTTAATTTGAATAAAAGATGGGCTACATCTGGCCCATAAAGATGGGATGTCTACTTAAATATTAATACATCAATTCTGGGTTATTATAGTTGATTTGCTTAGGTGGCTTAGATTAAATTGTTTGCCTGTTATTTTGTGGGTTGGACAACATTTGTACTCTGGTTATTGCATGCCATTCAATAAAATGGTTAAGAAAAATAATATTAGATTGTAGTAGATCACCCGATTGTTCTCTGTAGTAATGCTAAAGGTTAGCAATAAAAGACAATTGTATTTATTACCTAGCCGAGTTGAAACACTAATTTAAATGGTACTTCTTAACTTTCTGAATATCTAATCAGAAATCATACTTCTTCTTCCCTGTCCCAATATTTTATCTGAAACTCTACTTCCAGGGTGTCTTCAGTTCACGGAAAAGTTGCTGATTTTACTATCGGGCCACGAAAAACCGAGCCTAACTAAAATAAAGTTCCTCGAATCTATAATTTATTTTTCAGCTTGCTGCAGACAATGATTGAATTCATAATGCAGAATCACAGAGCCAACATATTTTGGGAGCAGGCAACCAGTTCAAATCGTTCAACACAATAGTTATTTGTGCAACTAGTGAGAAAAGTGAGCAATTGACTCACTCGAGAGAAATCCTTACTCACGAGCCGTAGGCGAGTGAGGAATGGTTTCTCGAGTGAGGCAATTGTACTTTGAACTCGAGTTGCACATTATACTTTTCCTACAGTTACCATAAAACAAATAAATTGGTGAAGAAACATAACCTATTTTTACACAGAGCTGAACTTTTAATATAACATGAACGTGAAGTGACAAATACAACAGTACAGCAGCTGACCAGCTGATTTACAGCCAGTGCTGCCAACGTATTTCGCGCGCATACGACGTTGCCTGCATGTTACACGCTCACTATTTCGTGCATTCACGTTGCAAATCTGGAGTGAGACAAAGTAATTAGAGTGAGACAATGTTAACATTGTCTCACTGATGAGCAAATTGGCCACTTTGCTTTCTCAAATCAGTGAGAGAACATGTACATTGTTAGGTAACTGTAGGAAAAATATTGTATGCCCGACTATCTCATGTTAAAGTCACTGAATAATATTGCCTTGTCAGTAACAAAGATTGAGCATGTTTAAGTCTCTCCCCCCATAAAGCCACTGAAATTTATTTTGACCAACTGGTAGATCCACTGTACTAATTCTTACCTAAAATAAAAAATTCTACTCCTTACCTGAATGAATATCTAGTATGAAATTCTACTTCTTGGTAGCCTGAACATAAAATCCGAATGAAAGGCTACTTCTTACCTGTCCGAATATCCGATGACAATACTACCTGATATTCTACTTACCAGTTGGAATATCCAATCTAAACACATCCTGAAAGTCTATTTCTTTCAAGTCCAAATATCGAGTTTAACAACTTCAAATTCTACAGTTTTCCTTCCTGAACGTACAATGTTTTAAACTACTGGAAATTCTACTTCTAGCTACATATCCATCTGCGGTAATGATAAATCTACTACAACTAATTTAATAGGCTTTTCTTGCCCTAATTTGCTATTAAAATCTATCCAATATTCAGCATCACATTGTTGGCTTCATTACTTAATTACTCTAAATTTATTGTGGATTTAACATTGTTCCAGAATATACCAGAGAAAAAAATTACTACAAGGCCTCCTCCGGGATTCAAGGTAAACTCCCATTTCTCTTTTGCCCCTTTTGTGTGTTCTCTGCTACTTGAATGAGAAAAATGTTTGTGTCTTACTGACTTAGGTTTGATATAACACAAACACTTTGAGCGATGTGATTTTGTTTCCTGCACAGTTTCCATTTTTGCAATGTTTGAGAGACACAATACTTTGCAGTTTGCAATGTTTCAATTTAACCTCTTTATGCTGTACAATTTCTGTAATTTCTTCTTGCTATGAGATGCATGGAATCATTATTATTATTGGTTGCATGTTTAGGCTACAAAAGGTAATTCGCTTGCAAAATTAAATTTTATCCTTCGCAAAATGAATTGCCTTGGTAAGTTTAGTAACCTTTTACAACACTCTAATACAATTTATCAGATTTATTTTTTACTAAATTGTGTAATAATTTTTAACAATATTTTTACAATTTTAAAATTAGTAGTGATTTTGTTGGGCTCATGCTATTATACCTCTCTTTGGGAAATATGTTTTTTTATGTATTTTAGTAAATCTATTAGTGGATTGCTATTGTGCATGCTTGTTCTGCAGGTTAGCATTGGGATTGATACTACAAATATTGGTAATATTTTAGTGTTATGTGTGGATTTCTAATAAGAGTGTATGCACAAAGGTGAATCCTTATAAAACTGTTCACTGTTGTATTTGTGCATTACATTCAGTACTTTAAAGCTTAGCCACCCATTTGCTGAATTTAAAAACTTACTTTGCATGTGTGAAAATATAGACATCAAAGGGCTGGTTTAGGGTCTTGTACAATCCATCTTCTATAAACATTTTTTAACTTAATATTTTACGATACAGATGTGTATTGTATCCCAGCCTTGGAAGTATAACGGTAAATGTCGCTAACCCTTTATGTCCACGGGGCTATTTAGTGATAGGTACATTAATTCCTATTTTACAAATGTTTCCCCTAAAACTAACATAAAAGCCTAAAAACAATTTTTTTGTAAACACTTAGTAAAGATAAGAAAAAATTAATTCGAGATGCAAAATCCACTACCAATCCAAATGGGTCTCCCCCAGCAAGCCCTTTAATAAATAGGTGAACTCATAAGTTCAATGTCGGACATGACCGATACGGGATTGAAACTTTTAAACTTTTGTCCTGGACAACAATAATTGGTCAAACCTATGGTCTACTGCACAGGGGAGCAAGCTGGTCTAGTGGTAGAGCGCAAGGCTTCGGTATTCTTGGTGTTGGGTTCAAATCCTGCCAATCACCGATGGATTTTATCCATGAGATAATGGCCGCAATCCTCTATGTCCAGTCTGAAGTAATGTGTAAGAACGATCTCAAGCGAAGAGAGCTAAGGGGAAATAGTAAAAAGTTGTCTACTGCACAAGCAACAGTAACCAACCAAAAACCTTGTGCATCAATAATATAGCTTTCAGAAGATTTTTACCAACTATGCTCGCATTTGTTGGAGTTAGAAGTTTTGTTACTCTTACGTCCCCGTGTACTCAACTACTCAATTATTGGTCCATATTAAAAAACAGAAATTTGCATTAATCATGCCACAATATCGTTATAGTTAAAACAAAAAGAACAATACAAATCATTGGAAATTCCTCTAATATCAAATAATAGCTATTTTAATAATAACCGAACCCATAAGCAACACATTCACTTACTGTAGCAACCTGTCTACAAGTTTTTTTTGTTTACTCTTGAACTTGCTCAAGTCTACCTCCAACTGAAGGGAGGGAAGAAGTAAAATAGAGGTTAGTGACCTTTGCAATATTACAAGTGAAAAATGGGGATTTTTTACACTCACACAATCACATCAGGTAAGCAAAAATTACTCCGTAAAATGCTGCATAGTTTGGACATCAGATTTTACTAATTTAGAAAGTTGTTAACAATGGAGAAAGATTCCTGGAGTTGTACAAATACTATATCAGCTATTAAAGCTTAAAAGGTTCAATTCAAGTAGTTGTAATGCTTTAGAGTTAAACAAATGTAACAGAAGATGGGTTATAAGCGATTTTAAACAGGTTTGATAAAGAGAACTATATTTAACACCTATTGACTTAGATAGTAAATATTAATCAATTTAGTTGAATATTCTTTGAAACAAAATTACACACTCAAAAATAGTAAATAATGTTTTTTGTTGTAGCCTCTTCCTGGTACATGTCAAAAAGAAGAGCCTCAGAATATTGATATGCCATCGGTCACGGCTTCGTCTACTGACACTAGCCAAGACCAGTCCTCCACCATCATACAAGTGCACAACTACTACAGTTATTCCTATCCTTCCACGTTGGGATTGCCAGCTGCTTACAATCAGCCACCACCGAACCCTTCCAATTTACCTTATGCAGGTCATCCGCTTTACCAATCAAATTCCCATATTTTGCCGTACAACCAACGTATCCCTTCAACCAATCTTTACCCACAGTATCAACCTGTTCTGCCACAACAACCCTTACCTCTTACTTCTTATTTTGTACCAAATCAGATGGCATTTCAACCTTTAACTTACTTTGTGAATCAACCTGTCCGGCCTAGTTACCAGAATTTCCCTTCTAGTGCTAGCATTTGCCCACATTCTTCACCTTTCCCTACCTCTTCTTATCCCACGTCTAGTCCAGTCAACCCCAGTTCTTCGCCGATTGGCTCATCAGGACGTTCATCCTACTCTGGTGTTCCCGCTCCAACCACTGTTTCTGATTGGGTAAATAATCTGCCACCAGTGTTAACCAATGCCTCTATGACCAAAGATGAGACTATTCTTCAACCAGTAACTCCACAACCGCCATCTAAAAGTGAGGTAAGATATTACAAATTAAATAGTAACAAAAGTTTTTAAATTATCTTGTGTGTATCTGCGCCTGTTGCATTATTTGGTTTTTTTTAAGGGATTGGACCAAACATTGGTCTTGTTAGTAACCTAACGTCAACTTTTTGTTAGGTAGCATCATTAATTGATAGTCCAATGAAAAATTGGACAAATTGGTACCTGGGTTCAGTTATAATCTTGCTTGGAAATCAAATCAAACAAGGGACCTTCAGATTTGAAGGCTAGTACTAAAACCACCCAGCAAGATAAGTTGTGTAGTGTGGCGTTACCTCTTGATTTTTAACATACTATTGGGAATATTTTCCTATACGGATTAGTTGAACACCAGACTAATGACGTTTCAGGATCTGAAATCTAACTTCTCATCCAAGTGGGAAAGACCAAGGCAAGGTTAGTGCTCTAACTGGAAAACACAATAGCACAAGTTAGCAGTGTTGGGTTGTTGTGTGTTTTTAGCACATTCAAATGAAATAAAAACCTAGATTGGTGCTGTTATGATCGAGTGTTGATTTCCAGTGATAGTTCACCTTTACTGTTTTTGTTTTGCCACTTTTCCCTTAACAACTGCATTTTTCCCATTCAAACGAGTTGTTGTATTATGGTATTGTGTCTACACTGTGCAACGCAGAATTGCGGGTTATGATGATGTCTTTATGACCGCAGGGACATGTAAAGATATTGCCACTATCATGGGTAGGACAACAATACCAAATTGTAATACTTAATGTTTAAGGTTTCATCAAAGATGTACGTTACATATATTTTTTTTATATAAGAAAAGGATTAAAAAATTATATCTAAGATATCTTATTTGTGTCTAGTAACTCCTTCCACTTCAAATCTCAATTTGCAATAGACCCATATCAAAATGAGTTTTACAAATCAAATTGTCTTCCATTATAAAAGCCTAATAGCAAATGAAAAGTGTGAAAATGTTTCATGGTAATAAATTCTATAACTATGTTTTTAGTGAGATTGAAATCTGTTGCTTCTGTACTTGTGTTGATTTCAGGTTCCCATCGTTAATGACATCCCTCGGCCTGCTACACCCCTGACTCCAGCTTCTGCAGAAGTCGCTAACATCTGCAAACACAGCAGACCCACTTCTTCTGCATCTCAAGCCTCTGAGAAATATACCAAATTCAGCCCTCTTCACAAAACCAACTCTGAAGATAGAATACCATTTAAAAGTTCTATTGAAAACATTCAAAAAGAGGAAGAAAAAATGTCAATTAAAAGTTTGAATAATAACACACTAAAAGAGGAAGGAAAAATGTCATTTAAAAGTTTGAACAACAATGCACAAAAAGAGGAAGATGAAATGTCATTTAAAAGTTTGATTGATAACGCACATAAAGAGATGGTCAAGCTAATGTCCAGATCCACTCCCTTGGAATCCAAACTCGAATCTCCTCAACATGAGATCATTTTGGATAATGAGGTGCAAGAAGCTTTCTCACTTCGTCCAAGCAGCCTTGAGCAGTTGTCTACGTGCGGCAGCCTTGTTAAGTCAGTGTATTCTCCTTCTTCGAAAGATGACTCGAGTGACGACTATGCTAGTGCTCCTGAAGAACTCGAAGAAGTCAATCACCCACTGGCTAGCTTAGTTTTGAATAGTCATCCAGTCTTGACTGAGCAAGAATCAACTTTGACTGAGCAAGAATCAATTTTGACTGAAGAAGAGTCAACTTTGACTGAACAGAATCCAACGACTGAGGAGCAACTGTTTCTGTATGAGCAACATCCATTGACTACGGAACTCCCAGTCTCCTCTGAACGATTATTGAATGAACAAAATGCATTACTTACTGAAGAGCAATCAGTATTTCCCAAGCAGAATCCAGTTGAGAAATGTGAACCTTGTGATGACAGTTTTTGGGACAATCTTGATATAGATGATACGCCACTTACCGAAGCTCATCTTCCCTTTTATGATATTGAAGAACAGTTACAACTAATACTGGATAGAATAAACACACCTACAGATGAGTCTGGCATAAAGATTGAGTGCCCTGAAGTATTAGAAAGCGTGAATGAACCAAGGAATGTGTCAGTTATGGAGTTTGAGTGCCCTGAAATAATAGAAAGTGTAAATGAACCAACAAATGAGTCAGTTATGGAGTTTGAAAACCCTAAAGTATTAGAAAGTATGAATCAACCACTAAATGTGTCAGTTAATGTGAAAAACGAGAGCCCTATAAAATTAGATAGTACGAACACCCCACCAAAAGAGTCCGTTTTGGATAATGAAACCTCTAAAAGGTCGCCCTTGTTAAAGATCAGCCAAATTCCGATGAACTGGAAGGATGCTTTTGACCCGGATGCTTTAAGCATCTCAAGAAAGTAAGTTTACCGCAATTTTTTACTACTTTTATGCTATTTTTTTTAGAGAAAACAATTGGTCAATCTTAAAAAAAATTCGTAGGCCTTGATGAAAACACAAAGTATAGATCATGTCAATTAGAGTAATGAACAAGATTTGAACGCACACAAGAACCGTAAGTCTACTACTGTGGTTTTTGTTATTTGTATTTTGTACAGGTCCCTACAAATAATTTCTGTTGGATTTAGCATCAAGTGGATCCCCAATGTTGTTTAAAGATTTTCCCCATTCCCTCTCACACACCAACCTAATTGACACAATCTATAACCTTGAAAAAAGTCAAATTCCTTGTGGTTTTCCTACCAAATAAATTACTACTCTTTGGTGGTTCTATATTCGAACAATTACTTTGGTTTTCTTGTAAGGATGTAATTATTTTTGTCTTCATGGTAAACCCTCCTATGGGACTGTAATTCTGTAAATTGTCTTTGACTTTTTGTATTTGTCAGTTATTCATATTAGAAATACTTTATTCCTACCACAATCAACAACGGCATAGCTAGTCTAGTGGTTAGAGCACTAAATTCATGTCTCGGAGGCTCTAATTCAAATCCTTCCAAACAACATTGATTTATCTATATGATAATGAAGTGGTCCTGTTGCATGGAGCCCGCTTATCTAAAAAAAGAGAGATTTAATCTCTCAGGTAGGTTTTAGAACTCCTTACACTAAAAGCCATATTGAAAAATCATTAAATTAAATTTGGCATATTATGTAAAAAAATGTGTTCTCTCTTGAAATTGCCAATACAATGTATGATAAAACAAACTGCTATTAAATGCAACCCAAAATGCACTCTGAGTTTCTTAAAACTGTGTATCGTCTTGTTACTCCATTATGATCCGTGAGTGTATGTCCCTGAATAATCCATAGAAAACAATTAACATAAACTTGGTTGTTTTTTCAGAGTTGATAACAACAACGTACAAAAAAAACCACCTCCAGAGAAGTTTGGAGTAAGAAAAGTTCCCGTTCAGATAATAGGTAAGTTTTCAAATTGTTCTGAAAATTGTGACCGTTTTATTTTGTGTGGTATGTTTTGTTATAAATGTCTTTATATGTTTTGTGGTGAGAACCTAATGTAATGTGATGTTTGAAAAGTGTTGTCTACTTTGTGTTTTGTGAAACGTACAACTGTACAAACTACAATATGTTGTGTTTGTTTCCCAGGAATTGAGAATAAACCGTTCCATCTGCTCTTCGTAGACAAAAAGCCAGCAATCGTGGCCTTGGAGTTCCTAAGTCAGTTTGTACAGGGCAGACCTCACACAAATGTGAAAGTGCTCGAATTGGACGAGTCTATAAAATTCTTCACCATAAATCAAACAAGTCATCCTGAAATACTCGCTGAATTGAACAAGTAAGTTGAAGAAAACTAATGAAATGTCAAGTAAAAGTTAATGATCGAATAGAAATGGCAAGTAAACCTCAACTTGAAAAAACTACATGTGACATTTTTGCCATACTACCCTAAACTAACCCACCAATAAATACTCCTACCGTAGCAAACCTACAGACCAATGAATTTTAATTTCTGATTGGATTTTAACTAAAATATTTCCATTAACAAGTCATTATTATTCCCCAGTCAAAATGCCATTAGATTTAATGAGTGCTTATGTTTGTTGCTAAAGGGAAAAGTAAAGTGTTTAATAAAAAAAATGTTAATATTATAGGATGAAATAATAAATGTGCCGAATCTAATCATCATACATAAAAGGAAAAACTACACTTTTCTTTTCTTTTTCTCCATAAGAATGACATGGGAATTTTAAAATAGTAGTTTTTTTTTTAATTTTCTTCCTAACCTTTAATATTGAACAACAAGGTTTCTTAATTATATGTTTCGAAGCTATGCACGATGACCATAATAACAATTTGGCATTTCCATGTTTAAATTTCAAAACCCCATAACAATAAGTTTAAGTTTATCCTGCCTTACAGCTTTAAGTCATATTTAATAAAAATACCCTCACCGCAGCAAACCTGCAGACTAAGCGAATTTTCATTTATCTGGCTGGATTTCTACTAAAGTATTCCCTGAAAATTGTCAGATTTATTTCCTATTTAAATAACATTAATTTAAGTAAAAAAATTTAAGTAAAAATTAATTTTTACCCCATAAACCCCTGTTTCAATAGTCTGATCATGCTGGTTTGCAAACTCCAGAGTACCATATTTCATCTAAATTGGATCATTTTTGCTTGAGTTATCGTGCTAACGGACATACACACACACATATATATATATTTCCCCTTAAATGGAATAAGCTATTACCAAATATATATAAATTTGAACGGAGGGTGTTTTTGGTCTCTGGGGACATCAAAACGAAAAAGTAAATCAGTCCTGGGTCTAGGTCTTACCATTAGACCTGTGGTAATAGCTTATTCCATTTATGGGATTTCGCAAAACTGTTCAAATCTGTTTATGTTCCCATCAAGTTGAGGAGTTATAATCATAACTTCTCTGAGAGGTTATGTTTACCGTTTTTAACCACGCGCTGGAATTGAAATATTAGACTACTTGACTATTAAATTTTGTAATTTATCTTAAGAATTAAAATTTGAAAAATTAGAAATGTTGACTGTTAAAATAGAGGTAACATGATTTGTAAGTTTAGTAAAATTAAATGTAAAAAAATTCCCACTTTTTATTTAACATGTTCTGTTTTTAGGTTATGAATTTCTATGTTATATTTCTGTGCAAAAACAAAGTTCATTCAGAAATGATTTGATTTGCTAAACATGTATCTTTGATAATTATTTATGTTTATGAAATACCTGAGTACCTAAGTATTCTAGTTATAATCAGCATGTGTCCGGAAATATTCATTAGTACAGTAGTACGTAATGAAATCCCATTTGATTAAGCTGGCATAAAACAGCTGTTTTCAGGACTAAATCCATGTGTGGGAAAGGCCGTTAAATTAGAGTAGTGTGGCAAAAATATTTTATAGTACTACAGTAGGCCTACATTATTTGGTGTTTGAAATTCTCATCGCATTTCATTTGAATTTGCTTTTTTCAGACTTGACGGATTTTTTGGAGAAGTTGAAAGGAAGGCTATTCTAAAAATGAATAAAGTACTCGTATTGAATTTAGCTGACATTCCAAAATGTTTGGGAGTTTTAAACAAGAGGAATGAGCCTCTTTTTCGTGATATCAAGGTAATTATGAATTAAAGCTAAGATAGTAAATAAGTATAATTAAAACCCTAGAGCATAATACTTCCCTTAATCAGAGTGTTCATAGCTCTCTGGTATATCCAACCAGGAAAGTACCCAATATTTCAGTTGGGTCCGGAGCGTCTCCATTAAATTGTATTATGTGTTCCTATTTTTTGTAACTTACAGTATTGTAAATTTGTTTACTTTAATCCAAGGATATTATAAATCATCTAAACAACGCTATGTTTTTCTGCTAATTAGTGTAACTGTAAACGTTCAATTCCAAATGAACTTTTCAGTGTATCATGTTTAATTAACTTTTCTAACCTTGGTAATTGTAGTAGAATAATTTAATTAATAGAGATTACTTTTTATCTTAATAAATGTATTTTTTTTCTAGAAAAACGGTCATCTGAGCCAAAAATCTCGTTTTATTCCGCACATGATCTAAAAATCCTGTTTTGTGACAAAAATCCTGCATACAGAAACACTGACAGCTAAGCACTCTTAAATATATAACTCTAATCAAATCTCAATCAAAATATAGCTTTAATCAAATTGTTGAATATCCGTCATTTTGGCTAGGCGAGAGATATTTACCTTGGGTACGTGTCATTGTATTTTTCTTGACAAACCCTTCAAAATGAGGGTCACTCAATAGGGATTGCTATTTAAAAAAATAAGTCACCCCTACCATCAACCCTGTTGGGGGGTTGAAAACTATTTTTGATGTTAAAGATTGCAGAACCTTTGTTTATAATCAGTGTCATAAACATATAATATATATATATATATATATATATATATATATATATATATATATATATATCTATTTCGGTTTTAAAAATGCAGCTTTGTTTCCATACTTAATTTGCACCCTGTATATTGCAGTTATAGTGTTGTGTTTGGAAATATTTTTCCTGAGATTTTTTAGTGAAACAGCCGGTCTAGGAGCCATTCTATCAGTGTCTATGATACATTTATTTGCAAATGCTAAGATTATTTTAAATTTGACCGCCCTATACAGAAAGACTGTATTGTTTTTTGGGGTTCAAGCAGTCCCATGCCATCTTGTATTTGAGCTTGCAAGATTTCAGTGTGCCCTTAACCAATGTGTGTGTGTGTGTCCAAGGCCACACTAAAAAAAACAGGCCGTAATGCTCGCCAAGCATGACGGCACGATAGAAGACAGCTATGACGTATAAGTGCTTATTTATTTATTTTCCAATGAAAGATTAAAACAAGCAGCTGATCACAAACGGCAAAATTACATCATTGCCGTCTTCTATCGTGACGTCATGCTGGACGAGCATTACGGCCTGTTTTTATAGTGTGGCCTTGGTGTGTCTCACTTATATGTGGGTTAGATAAGACTACTGTAGCTATTGTAGCCCCTTCCTAGACTAGTCTTGGTCTTAGGCTCCCAAATTCCAAATTTGTTTCGTGATTCTAAATAGATTTAACATTCATTTGCATAAGTATGGTCCTGAATATTCCTGTAATAAAAGTTTTGCAATTATCAAATATTCCTGTTTCTTGTGTTTTTTTTTTTTCAGTGTATCAACATGTGATGTTATAGTTTGTTGTTGTAGATAATATTCCAAATGTTGTGACGATGTGTGTTTGTTTCAGAGACTGATTGACGAATGTTCAAAGCTTTGATCAACCTTTCTCTCACAAGGCAACGTACTCAAAGTTAGTTTTAGGTCAAAAACTTATAACTTATCATATTTTATACTTCAGTACCCTTCTTGTTGTAAATTTGTAGTACAGTAGAACTCAAATTATACAAACTTTAAATATCCGAATTGTTTATAGAAAGAATGAAAAAACCATAAAAGCACAGTAATAAATATTTTATCAATGATTGTGGCAAAATCTTGCAAGTCTTCTGCGGTCATGGACATGCGGTTGTGGACATCATCATTGTTTCCTGTGGTTATGGAAATATCATCATAGTGTACCATGATTGAGGCCCAAATATCCCACAGTCGTGTAGATATCATCATCTCCCGCGGTCATAGAAACGCGTCATCGTTTCGGTAATTGCGACAAAATCTTGAAAATATTTCACGGTGCTGTAGATACCATCATAGTCTCCCACCGTCATGGAAATTTAGTGACTGCGGCAAAATCTTGAATATCTTCCTAGGTGTTGTAGATATAGCTTTCTCTCATGGTCATGAAATTTATAATTGTCCTCCACGGTTAAGGCGAAAAAAATAATTTTTCGATCATGAAATCTTCTCAGATATTTTCTGTGATTACAGTTACTATTTACTAATTAAAAGTTTGGTTCGACTCTGCCTATTTTCTTGAAAATACCCCAAAAATTCAGGTGAAAATACAATTATATGTATTTTTTATTATGCGAATGTCCCATTGATTAGGATTTTTGGAGTTCTATTGTACTGTAATATAATGTATAGTTTTGGATAAAAGGTATTTGTAAAAAACTAATTTATTAATGATTTAAAAAACTTACTAGCACCAGTTTCCAAACTACCCGATCTTGCTGTTTTTGAACTCATTCTTGTTAATTGTTTATACAGCCCTACTGATTCATGTTGAATTTCACAAAAAATAGGCATCAATTACTCAAGATACCGTGTTTACATAATCGTATAATATTTTTATCTATATACTGTACAAAAACGGTCCCGGGCGTCTAGGTTTTACCATTCCAACCTACAATAATAGCTTCTTCCCTATATATTTTTTTTAATATGTGTTGTTTTTTCTGCCCTAATTTATTTATGTTTTGAAAGGGAATGGTACAAACCCTGGTCTTGTTTCTATCTTACATATATTTAACTAAAAACCTATGTGGGAAATTCTCCAATAGGTGTCCAGTGCATCAAGCATCATTGTGAACTTCTATGGATTTATCTAGGTGATAGGTTTCCACGATCACGTCAGACTAAGAATAAATTATATATATTTTGTTTTTACCATCTACGCAATCAGTAGCGATGGTAAGAATAAAATAATATCTTCACACAAACTGCCACACTCAAGGATTATAAGAATAAGTTGTTGAAAGAGTAAAGTTAGAGGCTGACGTTTTTTATGCGTAGCAGCACTATCCATCTTTGGGGTAAACTACTATACTATTCTATACTATACTATTCGAAGAGGGTCATGCACGTTGTCTTAAGCCCCCCATACACTATCCAACATGTTGAACGGACATGTCGGGATCCAACGTCTTGTCGAACATATTGGACAGTGTGTGGGTTCTGACCCGACATGCTCGACGGATATGTCAGGTCGGATGCTCGGTCCGGTAGCACCACCCGACTCGAGCCGTCTGCCTGACATGTTGGACCGTGTGTGGGAAACCGTCGAACTGCTCGCCCGACTAGCCACAGTTTCCAGTTGACTTGTATTTAGCGAGTTGTGCGTGATAACCGTCCCATTTTTCCATGATGTCATTTAATGATAATAAACAGTTCTGGTCAGAATTTATTTAACTTTACAGAGACAGAAGGTGTTGTGGGATGTCAAAAGTAAACTCTATTGCAACAAGCATGCGCGTAAAGAGGAGCACGATATCCTGATGGAAAAGTGCAAGGAACTGTATCCAGAGTGTGATTTAAAGTTTGTTAAAAATAAAATTGAAAATTTAAGAGCCTCGTTCCGTAGGCTCTAAAAATCCCTAAATTCATTGCTAAAAATCCCCTCACAAACAGCTACAGTCGTCTCAAAATCCATCTCAGAACTAATATTTCACCTGACTTGTTGGGTAACATGCTCAACAGTGTGTGGGAAACACCCAACATAAGTCAGGTTGGATGATGGGTCCGTCGTCAGGTCAGGTTGTGAGGTCGGGTGGCATGTTCGATAGTGTGTGGGGGGCTTTAGGCTATATTGAGGTGGGGGTGTCAAAGGTATGTAGAAAGTTCTGAATGTTGTTGCTCAGGGGTGACTGATACATGTGCTATTTTTGCTATCTGTAGATTTTTCTGGGCCATTTTTACATGATAATAACAGGTGTCCAGGTTGGGCTGATTTCTATTCCGTGATCCCTGTTGAAGTTGAATTTGTGTTTCTTTATTTCTATGAACTAATACTTATCTTTCAAATTAATTGTTGGAGGTAGTAATGATTTTTGGGCTCTTATAATCTATGAAGTATTAAAGCACCGTGGAGGTGTCTGTTAGCGTGTGCGTGGATTTTCTATAAACAGCGTGGCTGTGTACACTAACGTCTAAGAAGGGAATATGGACTTTAACTTCCATTGTGAATTGAATGTTTTTGTGTAAGGAATTCAGGTGAGAAAAAAAATATCTGCAGTGAATCTAAGCCATGAAGCCATATGACAAAGGTGTCATCGATGTAGTGAAGGAGTAGTTTAAGCTTAAGCTCGAAGGATTCTAACAATCAACAAAATAGAATGTTCTACAAAACTCCACATACTTTCATCACCCCCACCTCCAATCCTATAACATCGTGCATGACACTCTTTGGTTGAATAGTAGGTTTTTCCCGAAGATGGATAGTTGATACGCATCCGAAACGTCAGCCTCTAGTTTTACTCTAAGGTCATCACCCGAGAACTAGATTTAACATTCTATGGATTTAGTTAGGGAGTTACAACTATGTATTAAGATTGTTGGCAGCATGTATCACTAACTATTTCAGTAAATTACTAATAATTTACTGATTTTGTTCCAGATTATGACAGCCTCTGACCACAGTGCCAATTTTATGTACTTAAGTGCCTTAGTATGTAAAAACGTTCAAAAATGCCAAATCGTATAGAGCAACAATTGAAACTGTTGCAAATAGAAACAGTCCGACATATTTTTATATCATGTTGTTGCCTTCATAAAGTTGAGTCACCAAGTATTAAAGGTTTTTTAGGGATATTAATTTAAGTCATTTTGTACTATTTTGTATCTTTAGTAACATGTAAGTTGTGTAAAAAAAGTTGTTTGAACTTTATCTCACCGATATTAAGTTTCTCTTTGTGAATAAATATCTATAGTTCCTCTACTTTGTTAGATATAAGTTTCTTGTTTGACATTAAGTTTAAAGTGTTCATTTTCATTAGATGTTTACATGTTTCAAGTCATTTGCTTTTAAGTTTATGTAATTATATAAATAAATACATTACTATTTGTTGACGGTATTAATGATGTTCATTATTACTTGGCCATATTCAACCTATTTAGTCAGTTGTCAAAGTATGTGGGCTTTAAATTTAAATCCCATTTTGCTTTGAATAATCTGGCATTGTAATATAATTGAAAAATGTAAAATGATTGTAAATAATCTCCATCAAGGTACCCATTTGTTCACTTCACATTGGTTCCGCCTCAAACAAGGGTTAAAAATATCAAAATGACCTAATGGTCTATACTGTCGATGAACTAAAATATCATCTTAAATAACTTTGTATGCATCCATAAGCCGTATCACACGAAGCCAATCGGCGGGAAGATTGTGCCTCAGGTAAATCTAAGTACACTAAAACAGTTAACCTCCTCATATCATCCTTTCTACATACTGGCCTCGTGTAAACGGCTGTGTTAGTGCATGTTTAAAATGTTAATTAGCAAGTTGTATATTTGTAAATGGCCGAATCTTCTAAGCCATGTTCAAGATGACGGTAAAAACCAAACACCTACCAAGGCACGTTTTAAATTGAGGTTAAAGAAAGAAGTCACGTGGATTTACTTCAAATTGCTCGATCGGCGGTGTTTGCCTCACATACCTACATTATCCATTGTTATTTTGTTATATGTTGTTAACTTTGTCCGTTGCTATGTCAACAAACAAAGGTAGATAGCAAATAGCTTACATTTGAAGAAGCTATACATCCAAAACCAACACTTTATTTTTTTGTAATGTCGGTAGCCCTGTAAATAAAAGAAATCTAATGGCAACATATGTAAAATAGCATATCGTTTAAACATCTTGTTTAAGATTAACAACTTTCCAATTTACACCTACTGTCTATTTCTTTACTATTTGACTGTTTGTAATAAACCAAAAACTAAATTTTCCCATTTAAAGTTCATGTTACTTTCCAAAGCCTAAAACCATAGACAAATAGAATAAATATAGACTGTCAAAGGAAGGTTCTGGCGTCCACCGCTAGGTTTGCCGTGTAGTTACGGCGCACACCGCTGCAGGCGAGGAGCGATATGCGACTAGCAGACGCTGCAGCAGTGTGCGACGCAGCAAACAGGTGGACAGTGGAACTTATGCCAACCGCAGCACAGCTGACGGGTCTATATTTATTATATTTTTCTATGCTAAAACTTAAACATATTGTTTAGTAATGCAACTCAACATGCATTTTATAGGGGAAAATTTAGTTATTCTTTTTAATTTTCTTTCGCATTTCTAGTAAAAGTGCTCCCGTAAAAGTATGTGTACGGTCTGCCTCACACTGTATATCAGTTCAGTTTTCAAAAGTCGATGTTTGTAGTTAACCAATTTTGCACTATAATAAGTGGTCTTTGAACAAATTCATTCATTGTGACATAACTGATGGCTCAGACTTTTTCCATTCTTTAGGCAAGAGTCCAAAACTAAGGTGTTAAAACAAGAGAAAGTTCACTGTAATTAACTGTGTCAAACACAGGAACTAATTATCAGAATACATATCACGATCAACATTAATATATTTCTGAGACGAGTATAATACAATATTAAAATACCATATGGCTGGTGGTGTTGTGTAACCACCTATAAAAATACAATATGAGTAAAACATACAAAAATAAACTTAAATGTAGCTTGTACTTAAGATTAACGTTGATGTGGTATCACAAATGGTATTCAAGTTCAACTACAGTTCAAGATCCGTTGCTTTGACTAGATGTGGCCGTTTTGAGAGCTATGCTTCTCTGATTGTTTCGGTGTGAAGTAAAGCGAGTCGAGCCACGCACAAGTGATGTCCTCAACTATCGTACGATCTGGTAGACTCTGCGCCATACCGTACAGCGCCATCTACAAAATAACATTGTATTTGTTTTTTATCCTGTTAAGTAAAATTTAGAAGTTTCATTTGTAAAAAAATACGAGTAGTAACTCGGCTCTTTCAGGGTTCCCACAAATATTGGGGGGGGGTCAATTTTCAAGACCCTAACAATAGGAGGTCAGAACCAAGATGGAAAAAATCTGGAATGTAATTAGTAAACTTCATTTTATGTTGTTGTTGTTCCGGATCGGTAAGACATACAATAAAAGGTTAAATTACCTGTGTCCGCCAATCGATCCTTGTGCTGTGTCCTATTACAGGATATGCATTTCGGCAGAATAAACTGCCATCATCAGTCCTAATATAAGTCCTTGTTCTTCCCCATTGGGTGCGTCTTGAAGTTTTGAAACACGTACACGAACGATATTACACTTAGATACATTACGAATAAAACATAAAACACGGTAGGCCTACTTTTATTGAGCTATTACGGACATGTAGACGCGCGTCGGTCGTGTGTCGAGTCTCGACTGGGGTCAGACGTTACTTGCAGAGTTGACCTTTGTCCTGTCTCTGTCCTTTGTAGCTACAGGTGGCGTTTCATTCAACTTTAACAATGCTTCGAATAATATGTTGGATTGTAGTGTACTTTTATCATTCAGGAGGTTGTGGGGGGTTGTTTTAGATGCTCTATAAATTTCATATTGCTCTAGTGATGTCATTACTCGACTTTTTCTACAAATGTGTAAAGGATTTAAATTTTCATTCAGGCTGGAATAACTGTGATTGCTGTCAATTAGGTGTTCGGCAAAATTGGATTGTTGTGTTAAACTATTTTTGGGAAGGTGTTCTTTAAACCTCTTAATAAATGGTCTGCCAGTCTGTCCAAACTTTGAAAAATGAATTTAAAAAACACGGAAAAACTGTAGCGTTTAGAACATCTAATAAAGTCCAAAATCTCCTCAAACCTAGAGCCCAACAAAATGTTAAAAACCTGAAAGATAAATCCGGAGTATACAAAATAACATGCAGTGACTGTAATAAATTCTATATTGGACAGACTGGCAGACCATTTATTAAGAGGTTTAAAGAACACCTTCCCAAAAATAGTTTAACACAACAATCCAATTTTGCCGAACACCTAATTGACAGCAATCACAGTTATTCCAGCCTGAATGAAAATTTAAAACCTTTACACATTTGTAGAAAAAGTCGAGTAATGACATCACTAGAGCAATATGAAATTTATAGAGCATCTAAAACAACCCCCCACAACCTCCTGAATGATAAAAGTACACTACAATCCAACATATTATTCGAAGCATTGTTAAAGTTGAATGAAACGCCACCTGTAGCTACAAAGGACAGAGACAGGACAAAGGTCAACTCTGCAAGTAACGTCTGACCCCAGTCGAGACTCGACACACGACCGACGCGTGTCTACATGTCCGTAATAGCTCAATAAAAGTAGGCCTACCGTGTTTTATGTTTTATTCGTAATGTATCTAAGTGTAATATCGTTCGTGTACGTGTTTCAAAACTTCAAGACGCACCCAATGGGGAAGAACAAGGCCTTATATTAGGACTGATGATGGCAGTTTATTCTGCCGAAATGCATATTCTGTAATAGGACACAGCACAAGGATCGATTGGCGGACACAGGTAATTTAACCTTTTATTGTAATTAGTAAACTTTTGAAATTTCTCTCATTTTGGACATTTGTTAGTGGAATCAGTGTTATAAATGTAGCAATTTTTACCGTATGGAAACCAAACCCGTCTACTACTTATAACAAAAATATATTCATGTTTCACTGAAGTAAATTGTTTAAAGAAATTTTTCCCCACTGGTCTTAGTCAGTAGCAACACAGAGAAAAAAGGTACAAACAAAGGAAAGTCGCTTATGAGACGATCATGTGATTTCAGCGTTTCAGCACTAGGATGTTGTGTCAGAAATATAATTGTGACGACCAAGGAAGAGCCCGAACGGCAAGCACTGTACGGAAATTCTTATCGCTCAACGCACATGATCTTCCTCCTCTGTTGTAATATATGAGGGCGAGGAAGGTGGTGTTGGACTTTGCCCTAGACACCACTCAAGCGTACCATTTAGCGTTTCCTGTACCTTCTCTGTCGTAGAACTAGCAAAGCTACACAAGGCATATAATGGTAACAATAATAGTACTGTGATCGAGATCAAAATGACAATTTACTTTGTGATGATGTTATAACCTGAAGATTTCTTATCTTCTGAAGAATAATCTGAAGGACCACATAACGGATAAAATAAATCACTCTTATATGAAAAGAACTATTAGAATAGGAACTCTATAATTTCAATATAATTTTTCCACTGAAGCTACCTATCAGAAAAATAAATGACTTACACAAAAAAATTCTCTAAATTCATCACTTTAAAATATCAATCATTGCCTCAAAACAAAATTCATAAACATTTGCCCTCTCACCTCTCCCCCTTTGGTCAACTCTTGAAGATCAGTTGATGTCATAATTTGTTGCACTCCTAGCTTGACGTCCTCCACGAAGCGATCAATGACACCATCCACAGTGTGCATGACGGTCACTGTCATGTGGATGCTGTTGAGAAAAACACACAAAAGTCTTAGAGAAATACATAACTTCTTGATCAGTACTGTACGTGTTATCAACTAAAAGATACGTCCAATAACACTCAAAAATATATTTACCTAACCCGCCATGTGATATTTCCCTATCCCAAGCGTGATGTATACAACTTCCTTACTTCTCGAGTGATGTAAAGTATCAAAAACTCACTCGGTGATGTAATGAAACCCATTTATAGCTATTTACATTACAAGTGTAGTAAGAGCGTTTTTACATCACGCAGGTGAATGTTGTGCAACGAGCGGAAGCGAGTTGCATAATTCACCGAAGTGATGTAAACACGCTCTTGCGTAACGTGTAATGTACAAGATTTTACCTGACCCGACAATATACAGGGGGTTACGTATATTTTTTCATTATATTTTTCATTATCCATTTCACTCATCTTCTAACAGTAATGTTCATTTACAAACAAAAGCTAGGTTAGGAAAATT